CCGGCGTGATCGATTTATATCATCCCGGTGCAGCATAAGCATTGAACACCTTCAGGAATCAGGACTAATCCATATTATCATCGACTTAGGTTGAGGAGGTCGCCGGACTAACTTTACTCCCAGATCTTGTGTGTTGAAATGCAAACATGAAAAGTAAAAGCCTAGAGATAGTTACCTCACCATTGAGGACGTACCTACTGTTACATAAGTTTTACAAAAAGATACGTGTTTCTTGCTGATCGCTCTCGTGAAGTGCACAACGTCCGCCTGCCACATTCCTACTTCTTTCTGTGCAAACAATATAACACACACATGACATTCTACCATACGACACATAACGCTTCTGCCCCACCCGGCGCCCCGCACCGCTTCACGAATCACGAATACGGTCGTCTCGCTGGAGCGATGCCCCAGGCAATGGCCGTGTCCGAGACTCCATCCTACTTTGTTGCTTTCTGCGCCTTCCTCAGAAACATTTACTGACGCTGCCAAATATATCACTATTTTTGGGTCATGCAGAGGCTTACGCATGATCATATAGGTAATTGCGTAGTGTCTAGTGACCTGACCCAACCTGACGATGTGATAGGTGCAACTCCGGCTTAAATAAATGTTCAGAGTCCAAGAGTTGTCTATCTTTCCTTCTACGGCCGGTTCCGTTCCAAAAGATCCTACCTTGATTCTGATCATTCAGAATATTCGGAAAGAGGACACCAAATGCCCTCGAACGGATAATTTTTTGGCTTTCGTCCCGAAACAACCTTGCCAGTTTCACTTGTCTCCAGTATGTGGTCCCGCTGCGACCTCTCCGCGGTGCTGACACCGACTGAAGCGGCATAGACCCATCGCGGTCACGGCCAGTGGGCGGAGTCAAGTTGAGCACGGCGTAACGTGATTGGCCAGCGCTCCTATCCAATCCGGTGCGGTAGCGAGCGAGCCTCTATCCGGGTGGAAAAACTGATTAACATTACGAGCCAACGACAAGTGCTCTAAATTTTGATATTTTGTTAAGAGACCATATTGACAAAAATTGGCGCTTGAGCTGAAACATCGTCTGCCGAAATTCCAAGCGAATTGGACAAAAATTGAAGAAATTATCGCCGAAAAACAGGGTCTCATGGGGTCTGAAATGCATAGTAGGTACAGATGAGATGAGACAGTTAACAGGAAATTTAGGACAAATTTGTGTGAAGGCAGACTTCAACCAGGGTTAATGAAATAAACACAACCACACTTAACTTGGCATAGCCTGTGTTTCACCCTCTGCAGATGTTTAAAAAAAGTATCGAAGATAAAGGCTTACCTGCAATTGATATTTGTTTGGCTATGTGTGGCAGGAATAGCCCAGTCTGTGCAAGAAGTTGTGACCAGTTGAAGGCAGCAGAGTGGAACAGATGGTGTCTAATATTAATGTGTTTAATATGCTTTGGCCTTCAAATTATCATGGGTTGAAAGTTGACAATACTTGTGTCAGTGAAACTTCTTGTCCAGACACCATTGGTTTTGATCCTTGAATGGTACCAATCAAGTTTCTGAACTTGTGTTTAGTTAGTGATTTGCCAGGTCTTGAAAGGCATACAGCCCAGAACAGTATCTGAACTTGGAATATCAACCTGTTTTGACTGATTTTTGCATAGTTCACAGGTTTACACATAATTTAACAAAGCATAATCATCAGCAATGACCACACCCTCCAGAAGGCGGCTGATGAGGGACTTTAAAAGGTGAGATAGACTGGTCATACATCTCTCCAAGAATGCATACTCCTTTGTACCAATTTTTGTTGATGCTGAGTATCAAACAAAATTGGTACAAAATTGATCTTTAGTGAGCTGTTTAGAGTCCTTTGTTTGAATAAAAATCAAAGTGGTGAATGTTAATGACACATTACCTTTATACAAGATTTTTTGCTGTTAACATTGCAATGCACCTTGTTTTATGTTGAAGTAACTATATGCTCAGGATAAGTTTCTTTCAAATGCCTGTCATGAGGAAGATGTGTACTGTTTGTGTTTCAGGTATTGTATTTTCTGCTACATTTATATCACATCACACATGATATATTTCCTCACCTGCCCTATGTTTCTCAGGTTACAGGAGGACCCTCCTCAAGGGGTTAGTGCTGCACCTTCAGACAACAACATTATGATCTGGAATGCTGTTATTTTTGGGTAAGCACACAAATTGGTTGTATTATGCAGTCCATTTTTAAGTCTACTGTATTTCAGATCCCTTAGGGAACCAATCACAGACTTCTATAGAGAAGTCTGTGAACCAATATATTAGATTCTAAGTGCAGTCCAGTGGTTATAATTAAACTGTTTTGTTGTTTGTTTGTTTGTTGGGGGCTAAGGGGCCCGCCGACTGCGAGGTCATTTTTTGCCCATGTATTGACTTTCTTTTAACTTCCCTGTGTATTGAAGGAAACATTAGATATGTTCAAGTTAAGATTAATGGGAAGTATTCAAATTCCCAAGTCAAACGTTTCCATCACAGCCGGACATTGGCAAAATCGGGTCTGAAAAATGGGATTATGGTTTAGTGCTCCTCTGCGGCAGGGACGTTAGGGGTAGGAGAGGTGATTGGATAAAGTTCATTGGGAGCTCGAGAATGGCTATAAGAGACTGGGGAAGACGCCTCCTAAACAGCTGAATGTAGGACTAGTGCCATTTAAATATGCATGATGGTTGCTACGTAAAAGCTTGCAACCTTGAGAGAAACAAAGGTACAATGGTTTCAACACTGACTTCCATAGCTGGGAACCTATTTGAACAGCCATATGCTTTTAACTTTTTGCATCCAGTTCTAGTAGACATGGGGAATTTTGCATTGAAATTGAATTTTGGGTCCAATTTTATTCTACCGTCGCTTTTTTCAAGGCATTCGCATTTTCCTTTGAACTGCTCAATTTGTATTCACAGCAACCACAAAATATTTTACCTTCAGGTATGGGTAAATATTATAATGAGTTATAAAAAGGTTAGGTATCACCACCCATCATGCACGGAGTGCTAAGTCTGCCCTAACATGATCATCGTTGCAGACCTCACGATACTCCGTTCGAAGACGGAACTTTCAAGCTGACCATGGAATTCACCGAGGAATATCCCAACAAGCCGCCTCTGGTGCGCTTCCTCTCCAAGATGTTTCATCCGAACGTGTACGCGGATGGTGGCATCTGCTTGGACATACTCCAGAACAGATGGAGTCCAACTTACGACGTATCCGCCATCTTGACGTCAATTCAGGTGAGCTGTTAGTGCACATCTACCTTTGTTTGATGTGTTTGAAGAATGCCCGTGACATAGCAAATTTTCTCAGCTCATAAATCGTTTGCGGATTTTCACATCAGAGTGAATTTCACCTGCTTCGCACCTCGTAGTTGATTGTTTCTTTGATGACGAATGTTTTTGATGACGAATCAAAATTTGATATTCGAAGTCACCTTTTTGTAGAAAAGTCTGAATATTTGTTAGTTACCTTAGGATTTAAAGGTCGGGTACTACTCTCAGTTCACAATTGCCATTTTAGTTTTGAGAAAAGTTCATCTCAGTGATCCTATTCTGCCGATGTGATGAATCAAGGACGAAGGAGCCTTTTCCGCTCCAGTCCTCAGACCTCGGTTTTATCGCTCCTTACCGTATGACCGAATCACTTATCTTCCCAGCGCACTGGTCAATCAGTTGGGATCTCGTCCTCAAACAACTGCATTCAAAATGCCTCCTAGTATCCCACATGCATAACTCATCCCTTACGCCGTAGACTCGGTATATTGACCGTCTCTCTGTTACTCTGTCGTCAGTCGCTGTTGGACGAGCCGAATCCCAACTCTCCGGCCAACTCGCTGGCCGCGCAGCTTTACCAGGAGAATCGGCGCGAGTACGAGAAGCGCGTCGCTGCCATCGTCGAGCAGTCGTGGCTGAACTTCTCCGAGGAGGATGACGGTGGTGCCGGAGGTAGCGAAGAAGCACCAGCCACCTAGCAGCTACCCACCTCCTAGCCCCGTCTGTCCTGCTGTGATGTGAGGCAGCGGTGGCGCCCGGCCGTGCGGCTGATGATCGCCTACAGTCGGAGGCGCGGCGGCGCTGGCCTCGGTAGCCCTGCGGCCCTGTTTGTTTACTATAGGTTTATGTCCAATTTGGTACGCGCTATGTAGCGCTCCTCGGTGATTTGTCGCGCTTGTGACTAAGGCAGAGGCAGCTGCTCATGGCCCGGGGTAGGGGGCGCTCCTGGCCGCCTTCTGGGCCGGGGTCGGATGCGGAGAGTTGCTGCCCGCAAGGTGCGCCGGGAACCCCGCCCGAGGGTCGACGCGTAACTGGTCTTTGCCCGTGTTTGTGTCGCTCGGTTATGAACGTGTCCTGCGAGTCAATCGTCCGTTGGAACTTTTAATCGTGCGAATCTCGCCCTCTGCGCCGCGCGCTCTCGTGTTTGCTAAGTCCGGCCCCATTTCAATCCTTCTCGTGGTCCCCTTCTAATTCGATTAACTACTTGTAATGCACTCTTCGTGTCATGGAAATGCATTGTCAAGCCTAAGCTCGTTTCTTCATGTTGGTGGTGGTCTTGAGAATCTGGGATGTTCGCAGTGCGCTGGGACTCGCTGGGTTTGGGGTTGGCCCGACATCCAGATAAGAAAAGAAGCAGGAAAACAGATAAAATTCGACAAGTGCCAAGGTCACAGGGTAACTCCACCAAAATGGATTACCTCTGTGGCTCGAACAGGTTTATTCATACCCGCCCCTCCCCCTCCCAGACAGGAAGTCTTTGTCTCCATTGGGCTATTTAGGGGCTTTCCTATCGATTTAAATTCTTGTTTCGGGAGCAGAACATTCCGCCAAAGATTAATATTCGCAAACCATCCATCTTTCACCGACGTTCAAGCGAGATCTTCTGGGGACATATCCTCGTACACCTCGATGCACAGCGCACACATTTCTGAACTGCTTCATTACTAAATCGCACCGTCAATACTTTGCCAGACGTTGCTGAAGATTCCCTCCAAAACAACCATTTTTTTCAGACACGCAGTGCCTAAGCCGTGTATTTAGAGCCACAAACGTGCAGGTACAATGGCCTTCAAGATGAACCCAATAACATGATACACGATAGTCGGCTGTAGTCGGTCGGCCGTAGTCTCGCTCGGCGCGGCGGATACAGAAACGAAGCACAGAACTCGCCGAAACCATGGGCGAACATCAACTACGAACACACACCAATGACCGGCTCTTGGATGACTGGGCCATGTCCCTCTGATCGGATGTAGCGCGGGCCGGGCCAGTTTATCTCGGGGAATGCGGCAGGCGGGGCGTCGCTTCACTCAAAACGGTCTTCCTGATGGCGTTACTCAGTCGCGGCGCCGCGAAGTTGGAGAGCGCGAGCTGCCGTTCCGGCGCGGAGAGCGCGAGCTCCTCCTCGGCGAGCGAGAGGCAGCGCGCTTCGGGGTGCGAGACCTAAAACACGACAAGCGATATCAGTCAACTAGTCCAACGAAGAGCCAAAACGCGTAAACACGTGCAAATCGAGAATAGAAATGCGACGTTAAAAGGCTCCAGTCAGCTTTTTCAGGAAGGTTTCTCGGGACAAGCGGCAAATTGATAGCGTGAAAGATTATCAGATGAGCATCACCGGTAGGGAAGGCGTGGGGGAAACTGCGTAGTAAATGTCGAAGTTCTGACGATGACTACGAACGCAATGTCTGTGGATCACCGAAACGTTCAGCAGCGCCCATTGACAGTCGCAGAGAGGCCAGGTCCTCACCTGGAGCGGTCACGGGAGCGGCTGCGCGAGTAGGAGCGGCTCGGAGACCTCCTGCTCCTCTTGGTGGGCGTGCGCGAGCGAGAGCGACGGTCACGGCTGCGGGATCTGGAAAAAGACCTAACATTGGGAGAAATGAATGCCCGTCTCTAGACAAAGAGCAACGGTATGTATAGTGCTGTGCGCAGTAAGGGGATGGGGCACAAACGGATTCTTCAACAGGTAACATCAGGGTAAATACTATGTAAGTCGGTAAAGGGCGTGTCGGTAGGGCGTGCTCATTGCATACAAGCGACGACTACACTCACGAAATACGTGAATGATACACACGAGATAGTCAAAACGTACACATCGCGTGGGCGAATACGTTCCCGAGTACACAGGGTCAATGTTACCGTCAGCCTAGTTGGCACTCATGCCAGCTGACACGTCATAAGTGTGACAGGTAGAGGAGGTCATAATATGCATACGCACCACACAGTACGTTCATGACGACGATGTGTTGATGGTATCTCGTGAACAAACGACAGTTATGTTGTGAGCTTGAACAAAGCGTCCGGCCAAACACTTGTGGTGCAAAAGCATCGATTCACTTGGCCGATACTGCTAAATGGTTGAAGCATTACAAAGGAAGCAGGGTGTGTGTCAGGCAAAAGGTAAGTACAGGTTCATGGGAGATACAGCGAACCCGTCATTGGCCAAGTCCTCAGCAATGATCTCACCAGAACATGCTTCCAGCATTTTATGCAACGATTTTCACTTCCATTTGCCTACGTCGACTTCATTTATATTTCGTCTCTTGGAAGCACGTTAGCTTTGAATTATACTGAGGACCGAAAAGCCTAAGCTTCTTCATTTTTTCATTGTTTGCCAATGACGGGTTGACCACTGCTCACTTGTGACACATTTAGGACGAAGGGCGTCATAGTGTGGTGTGGGGACTCGCGCGCACGGCATACCTGCCCGGCGGAGGGCTCTCACGAGGGAGTCGTCCACGCAGGCCGGGCGGGCGGGCAGAGTGCAGCTGGCGGCGGGTTGTCGGGCGGCCGCTGGTCGACGCTCCGCAGGGCGGCGGCCGCCCGCACAGGGACCGGACGAAGTAGTCGCACGTGCACAACACACGTGAGGAAGACTCGCAAATTGGCGGCCGGCCGACCGCCGGCGATGCCGCAGCGCGTGGTGGGTGTTACATGTCGCGTTTGAAGTGATCGAATAAGTTCAAGGACAAACTAGAAGACCGTGAATGTCCTGTAAAGGTAAGAAATCCCAATGGCCACGACAAACACTCCTGGGTACATGCCAGCGTCTTTCGATGCCTAAATTGGGTGCGTAAATAAAACGGTTCAGACAGAAACATTTCAGTGCATTTTAGATAAAGTGGGCATGTGATAGAAGTGAAGAACGACTCCCGTAACAAATAAAGGTAAAAATGAATAGGGACCTTCATAACGCATTGGTGGATAAGGATATCGAACAGTGTCAAAAACGGCTTCCAACATAAAAGCTGAATGTTGATAGCTGATCAATTTTTATCCGTCTTCACATTGTGTATGCGAAGCATCTCATAGCAAGAGGCAACTGCATCCAATGTCCATACTTATGAAGAGGAAACTGACAAACAAGATGAAATTGCTTAAGTATCAGGCATTTAAAAACCAGCAAGCTGAAAATACGAATTGCATCAGACTTATTCCGAATACTTAGCAACAATATACGAACTGTTGTGCAATGCTTAGTTTTGGGCGATTCAAAGCGAACAGGCAACTCACACAATTTTGTCTAAATCCGAGCAATCAAGGGATCAAGCAATCAATGAAAATGAAGAAAATGGTGTTACTTTTCAGTCATACTAAACGCCGAAAGCATCTCCGGGTCACAGACATTTCAATGACTATTCGAGAGACAAGTTAATGATAAGAACTGATAGCATATCGACATTCACGCCATGGAAACCAACCTATCACCTAACGAACGACAAGCGCGGGCCATTTTCACCTGCGCACAGCTAAAGCCAAGCTTTGAAGGAGTAGCTTCGAAAAGAATGATAATAAGAAAGATGATAACGTGAGGATTACATTGCCTTGTGGCATATAGCACGTTTTGTTGATGAATTCAATTGAAATAAAACACCAATGAAGGAAAGGATGTTTTGGCAATCAAAAGTAATTAACGACACCTAAACATTTCGAAGTCTAATAGAGTTGGAAGTTGGAACTACCGTCGCTAGCAGGAGGCATATAGTCATTGAATAGGTGTTTGGAATAATCTTTAAAATACACAAAAAATCTCATCCAGCGGCTTACCTTCAAGGAATAAGGAAGGAGAAAAGGTCTTCTCGGAGATATGGGTAAGCACAACCAGTACCTTGCAGTTCAAAATCAAAAAGAAAACACTAAACTAAACGATTAGGCACTCGAAATAATGGAAAATATCAATAAACGATGGAAATTTGTGATAAATTAAAATAAATAAACAATAGTGACCCTTGAGGAATTTTGCTACGAACAAAAAATCCTAAATGAGCCTGAAACAAATTGAAAAGCAGACAGACCAACCACCTCACATTGTGCATGCGCAAACTTTGCCTACGACCTAACACCGCTGCCATTCATCGAGACCAAAAACCCCTCCTGTTCGGAGCCCTTTATCGCACTACGGGAGGGTCCCTGTCCGCCGTCTCACCGCCGTGCTGTGGCGGCCCGATGACGCTCAAAGTCAGACGGACGGACGGACGGACGGACGGTCTGGTGGCTGTCCAGTGTCTGCGCAGACCGGCTACCGGCCGGTCGGGTGGAAGGAGCGGCGCGCGCGCGCGGGCGGGGGTGGTGTGCTAAGGCGCAGGCGGGGACGATGTGCCGTCGCAGCTGGGCCACAGACACGCAATCATCCCCTACGGAGCGCCAGAGCAGAGCGTCAGGTCAGCTGCGGCGCGTGCGGCGCCCGGGGCAGCGTCCCGCAGCAGTCACACACCAGGGAACCGAGGACTGACCTGCGGATGGGCCGCTTGTTGCGACAGTCGTAGGAGTAGTGCCCGCTCTCGCCACAGTCGTAGCAGCGGTCGGCCGGGTCCCAGCCGCGCCCGTAGCGGCCCGAGCCCACCGTGGGCCGCCAGCTGCCGCCACGGTTCCGTGTGCGTCCGGTCGACATCTCCACGGTAATGCGCCGGTTACAGACAGTCCTGCGCACAGCGGTCACGGTCAACAAAGGTGGCCGACAAAACACCTCGAGGATTTCGATATTTCCCCAGTAACAGACCATCCTGTGAGCAGTTAGCACAAGTTAAGTAGTCAGCTGCGACAATAAAGTGATAAAATGTTTGGTATTCACATAAATATGGCTTGTATTAAATGCATCCCATTTACATTTATCAAATGGCCTCACCTTCCATCTAGACCCCGGACAGAGTCTCTGGCATCTCTGGGATCTTCAAACTCCACAAACGCGAAGCCCGGCGGGTTTCGCGCTACCCATACGTTCTTCAGCGGCCCATAATAAGAGAATGCGTCCTCCAACTCAGTCTGAGATGCATTGCTTCCTATGAATAATTTAAAGAGAGGGGTAAGACGGGAAAATAATTAGTTTTGCCAGAGAGTACCAAGCCACTGAAAAGAATAAACAAAAACAAAAAGTTATTATTGGGAGAGAGAATTTAAAAGATCTTTATGATGATGTGCATGGATTTTAGTTGAATCGAAGCCCTAAGAGGATCCATGGAAACAGCCAATCTACTTAAAAATAAAATTTTATGTCTTTTCACAAGCTTTTGCTTGATTGTTAACCCAGGCACCGACGGGGGTCTGCGCCAACTTCGCACCGACGGGGGGGGGCGGATGACCGCCCCCCCCCTGAAATCTCGAGAACGAAGCAAGATAGCGACAAGCGGTAAACGGCATCGGATACGCACGGTCAAGATCTACAATTTTTACTAAGGTCATTTTCAGGTCAGGTCAAAGATGACGTCACAGGGGTCGAAAAAGTCAAAATGGCGGCGCTAGATATGGAGAGTTTTTCTCGAATAACTTTCGAATTAGTCAAGATATGAACAAACTAAGGGCATCATCGTGATCCTCTCGTCAATCCGCATCGAATGATATATATGTTGACCTCGAAAGGTCAAGGTCAAAGGTTGCCCTCAGGTCACGTGACCTCGAGGCCATCATGTATATCATTCGATGCGTCTTGACGAGCTGAACACAATGAGACCATCCACGCGTCTGTATCTTGTTCCTGTACGGAGTTATTGGCCAAAAACCTTTGGTGACCTTTGATGACGTCACATGACCTCACAGCTGCCCAACAGCAAAACAGACCTCAAGGTAGTGAAGGTTGATCGTATATGAAGTCATGTATGGTATATGGGGCCATTCCGACCCGTTTTAGTGGCAAAAACAGGGAGTTGATTTTTTCCCCAATTGACTTATAATGGGGAGGTCGTAAAATTGACCTGACCTTAGGTCACCGATATCAAAATTCCGAGATATACAAATTGTAGCTACTAATGACCTAATAACATCCTGCGACTTTCAAAGGCCTCCGACATCTACTGTAGCTCTGGCACGGTGACAAAGTTGCAAAAAAGTGACTTGAGGTTGGGTCATTCAAAGTGACCTGGTGACCTGACCTTAAAAGGTAGGAGGTTCAAACTTGCACACCATGTGTAAAATTGATGAGGGAATAGTCGTACCAAATTTGGCGGCGTAGCGCCGCGGTTTTCCCGCTATTCGCGAAAAACCTCAGAGGGGGGCGGATATCCGCCCCCCCCCCCCGTCGGTGCGCGGGTTAAGCATACGAGTATCCTTCACACATAGAACCTTCAATCTGGCACAACCTCCTGTGCTTATGTACGAAAATATGAATAAGATTGCCAGTAAAAAAAAACAACAACAACAATAAGAACAGTGAAAATGTGAAAGCTTCACTTTAATGCAAGTACAAATTAATCATTGGTGCATGATTCATCAGTCTATCAAGTGTAACCAATGACCACGTTGGTTGCTCAGGTACTCTGGCAAATAATGGTGGACCAGCCCCTGTCACTCACCTAGATCCCCCACATACACCTTGCAGTCAGATGGTCCCCTGGAGTGGGACATGGCTACTGCTCCTGAAAAGATGTCATTCAGCTCAGTCTTCTATACAATAATAGCTTACAGTTTACAGAATAATTGCCCCAGCTTTATACCTATGGTATTTAAAATGGCAAATATGCATCCTTGGTTGCAAAAACAAGTGCGAAGCCTGCTTTATGACTACCCAAGGATCTCGATTCTTGGTGCAAGACTGAGTGCTGCTGCTTTATTTGGGCTGCACAAGATTGGGCAGTTGATGTCAGATGGTGTTATATGATAGGCAGTTTGATATTGAATTTCCACCGACCCATGCTGCTTGCTAGTGCTACTTATATCTCACATATCATGCTCCTGATTACAGCAGTTTGGACCTTCTCGAAGATGCCTGACCCTTTATACCGCTACCAGTGAAAAGTAAATGTTGTTTACTTTAAGGTTTCAGTAGGTAGGTGTTAAATTGAGTTATGTATGATTTGCCACTATGTTTTAATAAAAAGGTTGAATTTGCTTTCACTATCAAATGGTTTAGAAAAATAGCCAAAGGCCAGTAATATACTATGCTTGGAATTCAGGTTGAGTGATAACATTAAAGGAAATAGTTCACTTTTTAACATGGGTTTTGAACTGGAATAGCAGTTCCGTAGCCTGGGCTGAGACGAGCATAAATCAGGAGCTTTTACAGCCCAACGATCACCCTAGGCAAAGATATTCTATTTCTCGTCCCGAAAAAGGTGTCGATGTGTGCCTTGCATATATTCGCATCCAGTATGAAAAGAGCATGGGTACCGAAAATTCTTCAGAAACTAGAGAAATTATCTACGAGAACTCTAGAGAAATTCTCGTACTGATCAATAAGGACATTCAGCAGCAGCAGATCGCCCAAATGCCGGTGGCCGCGATAATTTCTCTAGTTTCTGAAGAATTTTCGGGACCCATGCTCTTTTCATACTGGATCGCCTGTGCCTTACAGAAACTGAAAAGTTCTTCCTATATCAAAATATAGAAAATAATCTTTTGTTATAAATAGGTTTTATTTTCTTTGCTGATCATTTTGAACATAAAAAATCATAAATCCATTGCAAAAAAAATAATTTCGTGAAAGTGAACTATTTCCTTTAAGCAGTGAAATCATATGAAATTATATCGTGCAGTGAGGTCAAATCCCTCATTTGCACCCTGGGCTCAGTCAAAACTGAATAAAAACCACACCATATTGTCACAATCCATGTATCAACCTAGACAATTGTTCATACAATCATCTAATGCTAAAAAACAATCAGGTACAATACAAACAGAAATAAACAAACCTAATCTAACCTGAACTAACCTTACCTACTTACCTACTACAGCCTACACCTATAACCTACCAACCTACCAAATTACCAACCTTCTGCAACCCACCCTAAACCTAACCTACAACCAGGTAAGATTACCATACCAGGTAAGATTACAACCTAAATCTACTTATATACCACATAACCTTGCCTGATTCAAAGAGTGGTTGGGTGTAACTTATAAATGTTTTATGTAAAAAGTATCATATGTATCTATGTGTGATCTCACTTTTTTACCTTAGAAGGATGTGCTCTTTCTTTTCATGATTTTGTTTTGTGAATTTCTCCAGTATTAAAAGAACGCAAAGGGGGAAACGACCTGCAGTGATGTTTTTCACATGCAAAAAGAGCTATAACAATAGAAAGCCAAGTGGTTATCACCCAGCAGAATGCTGCCTAATGTTTCAACATCAGTTTTAAAGGTGGAATCTGAAGACAAGGCACCCATGGGGAGATTTGATCAAAGATCTTGAAATTTGTATGACAGAATCACATGACAACTAGCCTGTTAAAGGCATAGAGAGTGGGAGAATATCCCAATAATCATGCAACTAAAAATACCCCCTGGCGCCATTTACAGATTCCACCGTCGTAACAAACAGGCTATGGGTATAAGGCCAATCCAAAAAGAAGACATTCATGTCTCAGACCAAGAAGTACTGGACATTTTGAAAATGTATATAAATATAATATGTTTGTTGATTAAGTAAACTATTGCTTGAACTCCATAAAATCAAACACAGGGGAGCAATGCCGCTTCAACCCTATTGGCCGTAGTGTCTAACGGTGGCGGCCATATTGCGCAGACCAGAAACCGGCTGCCGCCTGTGTTGAGGAATAGGGAATTCGGGACCTCGATTTACGTTTGCGGCCGCCGTATCCGTTACGTTCAAGTTACGTAGATACGGAAACCGGCATCTTACGCAGAATTGAGTGGGGAACACGATCGTATCTTCAGAATTCTTCAAATTCACTTGCCTGACCTACATTTGCCCCGGCCGAGGGGGTTGATTGAACCCACCTCGCTAATGCACCGCTAATTAAACTAGAATTAAGCGGTTAAGTGGTCGTATGCGGCAAAGTATAATGCAGAGTGACTGGTAGGAACCCGCTGTAAGGGTCTCAGGTCAACCGGTGACCTCTGAGGTCAGGTCAAGTGATCTAAGGCACGGGTTCGGTTTTTGGTAAATAACTTCGCCAAAAATGGCCGTAGAGCCGCGATTTTGGCATCATCGTGTTCAGCTAGCTCAGGCGCATCGAGTGATATACTTTTTGTTCGGGTCAGGTCAACTTAGGGTGTTGACCTCAGGTCAAGGTCAGGTCAGCACCCCCAGGTCACGAGGTTGGTCGAAAGAGGTCATGTCGCATATCATTCGATTCGGCAGGTCTTCCTGAGTCCATTGGTGGCTCTCCCGACTCGCTAGCTCAATTTGATCGGGAGTTATTGAAGAAAAATGGTGACCCTTGTGACGTCACAAATGACGTCACGCAAGGGCAACATTGCAAATATGAAGCATAGAACCTTGCAAAGAGTGCATGAAATCATGATTTTATATGCTTGAGATAGTTTCAGATCATTCTCGGCGCCAAAATAACAATTTTCATATTTCCCCATTGACTTATAAGGGTTTAGCGTATTAGTTCCTTATAGCTGATGATTTTTTAGGATTTCATCTTGTTCTCCACTCAATTCTGCGTAAGATGCCGGGTTCCGTGTCCACATAGCTTGAGCGTAACGGATGCAGCGACCGCAAACGTAAATAGAGGTCCCGAATTCCCTATTCCCCAGCACAGGCGGCGGCCGCTTTCTGGTCTGCGCAACATGGCGGCACCGTTGGACACCATTTGGCGGCCGATGCGCATTCCACATTATAGAGTTCAGTGAAATCAAAATACATGATATTTAAAATTGTAGCCAAACACGGCGCACAGATGTACCTAATAATCAAACTTACAGAACGACAAACGTTGATCAAATGTTTCCCCCAAAGTGGAGGAAACGTCTGAAAGCAAAATATAATCGGGCTTGAAAAGGAACAATGAGTAAAATAATTCTCGAAATCACAGTATCCTTCTGTCCCTTCAGGAAGTCAAAAAATGAAACGCCGGAAATGAACGTTATCGACGAGAAGCTTCCACATTCATCTGCTACCATATCCATCAACAAAATAAAGGGAAGCCTCCGGCATCAAAGGTAATTCGGAAGATTTGAAATCCGGAATCCCGGGCTGCTGGGGGTTGCTGGGGGCGGGGGCGCGATCCCTACAAAATACAGATAGCTGGGGGGGGGGGGGGGGCTGGGGGCATGCCTTCCAAACTCCAAACAGAGGGTCTCAGACTTTCAATTTCCGAAAACGTGTCAGATTTCGCTTTCTTCTATTTGGCCTTCCCTGCAGTAGTCCGCCAATGCCGGCAACGTTACGGTCCAAACTCCATAGACAAGCGGACATACGGTTTTACAAGAGTTAGGCGACGAAATACTCAGAGGTCGACAAATTTCATGGAGTTTCTCCGACTACCGGCCAATTTTCTCCAGCCTTTTCTTCGACGATTGTGAGAAATGATGATTTTGGATACCTATCCACCACGCTAGAACGCAACCCAAAACACTGGTAGGGGTGTACGGCAGTCATACACAAATGACAGGAGTCTCATGAGTCGGAACAAGTATACAAATGTAATCCACATTAGCCTGATCCACGGAACCCGGCTCCCCCCCCCCCCCCCCCGTTCCGCCACCTATGGGCATATGACATCGATGGCCCCACTCCAGCCCCACACACCGCGCCAACGCCGCACGGGCCTTGACGCCGCACCAGGGCCCGCCGCCGCCGCCGCCGCCGCCGCACCACGCACGCATTACGCAAGCGCTGGAAGAGTTCAATAGATGGCGACACGCTCGTCCCGCACGGGCAGCACACGCACAACGTGCCGCACCGGCCGCCCAAACATGGCGCTTTCAATTGCTTCCAACTCATATAATTTCCCGTTCTTGAGACTTTTCTTCGTATTTGAAGAGAATCCTTTAGATATAACAAAAAACGTCGCCAGAAATAGCGACTATTATTGATAATTCTCAACTATTATCTCTTAAGTCTCAAGATTTGGCAGCCGAAGAAAACAAAGGGCTCGACAAAAACACCACTTTCTCCGACTGCCAATAAGAGCGATATTTGGTTATGAACTGGTAGGAAAACAGACCTAATAGGCACAGAGCTGCTTCTGACCGGATCAGACCAGCTCTGACTAGGGAGAAAGTGGAGAAATGGAAGAAAACTGTGATCACTAAATTATTATTCGTGCTGTTGCTACTTGCTAGTCTATGACAGAGGTGCATGAATGTATCTGAACAAAACAATGTTGACTTTGCTAATCTAAGAATGTCTTCCGTGATTTTCTTCTTTTGGTGCTTTTCGCTCGTATATTTTTCTCTGACTAGGGTCAGATGGTCAGAGATTTTGTCGACCTCTGGAAATACTCAGCTTAATTATTAACCCGCGCCCTGCTGGGGGGGGGTGTTTGAACACCCCCCCCCCTTGTGGTTTTTCGTGAAAATCTCAAAAACGGCGGCGCGGAGCGCCGCCGTTTTTGGTACACCTTATCATACATCAATTCTACACATGTTGTGAAAATTTCAGACCAAGGTCATTGAAGGTCAGGTCACCAGGTCACTTGAAGTGACCTCACCTCATAAAAACTTTCAATGTCTGTCATAGCTACACCGAGTGACCGATCGCTTTGAAACTTTCAGCGATTGCTAAGAGCAATAGCATGTACAAAATGTATATCTCAGAATTTCGATATCGATGACCTAAGGTCAGGTCAATTTTGCGACCTCGCCATTATAAGTCAATGGGAGAAAATTGAAATGCGCCTCTTTTGGATGCAAGACATTATAAACACTCCCAAACACCGAATTACAAGTGGTTTAGACACACTGAACATGAAAATGGTGTCCGTGACCCTTGTTTATGCCCTGAGGTCATCTTAGGTCACGAATGGTATCTAACAGTTTTTCGCAAATAACTTTTGATAGAGGCATGCTAGAGCGATGAAAACGCCTTAGATGTGTTCAGCTCGACGATACGGATCGACTGATATGCAACATGACCCTTTCCGGTCAGGTCATGACCTTGACCTGAGGTCAAATTTTCAAGTTGACCTTTCAAGGTCAAGTTATAGTTCATTCGATGCGTCTTGACGAGAGGAACACGATGCCGGTAAAAGAAAGCTCGTACAAGACTTGGGTCAAAAGTTATTGCAGAAAAACTGTTTTCGAAAAAATCGGCTATTTTTGCAGTTTTTGCCCCCTGCAGGCAAAACCGTTGACGTTAGGTCAAATCTGAGAGAATTACTCAGAAAGGGCGTTAATAGGGCTATCGAATGCGCTTTTCCGCGGCGCTGTAGCTCTATTGGTTCCCGAGTTATGCGTTGGCTTCTTGGAAATTTTCGACATTCGACCTGGAAATCGGCGAAATTTTGCCTTCAATGACCTCTGGTGACCTGACCTTTGACCTGACCAAAAAATTGACTAAAGTGATTTCGTCATTATTTTTGACGCTCTTTCGAACGCCGCCTTCCGCGTATCGCTACGTGGCCCAGGAGCCGAGTTACAAGGGGGGGTGTTCAAACACCCCCCCCAGCAGGGCGTGGAAATCCAGGACCCCCAGCCGGGCGCGGGTTAAGTAATGGGCACCATTAGGTAGGCCATACAATTTTCTGTAGTACCGCATAGTCGCTGCAGTCAAAGGTGTTCTGGTTTTTATGCTATATGCCAAAGAATTTTTGCGTGTAATCACCGGTGACACGACATATTTCTGCTTTATTGGGTTGGGCGGTGAAGTTGATGACGTGATCACAATGAAAATGGCTTAGTTTTGTAGAACATTGAATTCTGATTCCGGCACGACTCTCGCTAGTCCATTTTTTATTATAAATAAACCATTAATTGCGGTACAAAGTCAAAACTAGCCCGAAACGGCGCCCGCAGCGGCCGTTAGCACAGCGGCCTTATGGTAAACAGGTTAGTTCACATTCCCGCCGCTATGCGAGTGGCGGCGGCGCCACCTGTCCTCATGTCCGCCTTGGACCGTAACGAAACTAATCCTGATTTTAGTCCACTAAAACTTATTAGGTTTCTAGCCTATTGGCTTTCCTTTGATGCTTTCTTATTAGTTCATTTGCCTAGGATGAAAGCGACACTGGAGTCTGGACACATTCGGAACGCCGGGGATGGATGGTGACGAATCTTGGGTGGTGACTGGGTGGTACCACTACTGGTGCCTACTGCCTACCGTACTCTTTGCTTGCCTCCCTAGTCCCTTCACCCTTGCATTCCACTATCTAATACACTTACAGCCACGGGCCCACGGGGCTGGCCTTTTAGATATATCTGAAGGAGTTGTGAAAGGACCCGGCGACACTCGACATTCTGACATTGTCTAATGCTTGACAATGCAAGACAAGACCCATCGCTCTACTACAGGGCATTTCGATTTTCGAATGATAAATACAAATACAATAAAAAGATCACTAGCATTGCACCTGATCGAAAATATTAAAGGCTCTAAAAATCGCGAGAACTTCAGATAACTTTGTATGGCAAACCTTCGACACATAGTACTACTATGGGACGATGGTTCAATCACAATAGAATGGGACAGATAGACAGACTTATCTATAAACAACCCTTGATGCTTGAGCATTGAAAAATGTCCCTCGGTCAAAGAAAATCCTGTTACAGTCGTAGGTCGTATACCAATTACTAAGCGTCATGCAAATAATGGGGACACTATAAAAGTCGAGCCTAGGAAACATATACATCGTTTATTTTCTTAAATACTTCAAACAAGAATTAGTCGGGGAACAATAACGTGAAAACCGGTTACCACACGAGTTAAGGCACAGCAATCACTCAGGGCGGGCTGTTGCCTACGAAACCGCAACGACACACAACACGGCACATCAATTGTGAGGTGGACTCTAAAATTATCCATGGCAACAGCAGCGCCCTAGCAAAGATGGGGGTGACTAGATTAGGTTCGACAAAACAACTGTCTAGTCTGCCAGGCTTCGCAGGGAGAGGCCGGCCTTCACACTGCTATCTCCAGAGCTGCTATCGCCACACTCGGAGACAATGCATTTTAAAAGTGTATCAACTTCATTCACGGTACACGACACAATTCCGTCCAGACAGCGTTTTAGGTGAAACGAACGTTTACTACGCGAGACCATCATGTGCTCAACAAAGTAGCGACGTGAGTCAAACTTATAACAACGAAAGAAATATTGAGTGGTAACGATAAAAGAGAAGTCCACGAAATGCGACTTGTGCAGATTATGCAGGGTGACAATATTCACAATAACCAGTCCCAACGAGTTATCTCAGCAAAAATAATTCTGCTTATCGTCAACGGTTTATACTTCATATACGCGGTAACGGCAATCCAAATACGAGCATGTCTGAAAGACTTGCCCTCCCTGGTAGGTATTTGGAAGACACCGAGTTCCAACCATTGAAACGGTAAGAGTAAGTAGCAACGTTACTTTTCCCCGTCATAAAATCAACTGCAGTCAGCCTGGCTGCGTCACAGGCAAAATACCGGCAAGTTTTACAGAACTCCAACTTCGATAAGTATTGTCCACCACGTTATTTGCTTGATTGACCTGCCAACTGAGGTAGTTGACAGGTCAACCAGTCACCGTAACGCACTGAAGGCCAAAGGAGACCATATATCCGACTGGTATCGAGTCAGCTCTCACCCTGTGAACATTATGTAACAATGCCTTGGTTCCAGTCAGTCTAGTCATTCAGTAACATGAGATTCAACCCCGGCCATAGCATCCAGGCTCTTTCCGCGCGCTCTGTCTGCGGTAGGGCCGTTCTGCGTGCACTGCCAACAGCAGGACTATTTTACGCGCACCGTTTGCGGCAGGACCGTTCTTACGGCCGCCACGAGCGGTCATCCTCGTCGTCAGCATCGTCTCCCTCGTCGTCCTCGAAGTCGGAGAGGTTGGTCGGAGACTCCGCGGGGTCAGTGTCCACTGCCTGGTCGGCGCCGGTGTCCATTTCGACAGTCTGTCAAACAGTGGATGGTGTGGAGGTGTAAACGAGCGGCCTCAGTCCTAAAATACTTTGTTAAAGTAATCGTTGGTTAATTAGAGCCGTGCACAAATATCTTTGCTTGCACGTCACCCACACGAAAAATAAATAAATCGAAGAAAAACACGACGTAATATATTTCTGGCAAAATAATTCCACTTATCAGTAAGAGATAATTGATTCTTATCGAATGACCAATCCATCCTCACAGTCGACGACTAGCCATCTCCGGACTACCATACACACCTCGTCACGCACCTGCACGACATCAGCGGCCGCCTTCGCCGCTGCTGCTGTCGCCGAGAGCGGCCAGCCGAGGGTGAGCCGGTGCACGCCCACGGTGGCGCCCCCTGCCAGCGCGGCCTCCGCCTGCCGCCTGGTACCGAAGGTCACCGCCAGGGCGGCGCCAGTGTCGCCGGCCGGCCGGCAGTCGGTCACCTCGCCGAACCTCTGTTGGAAGGGGAAGGAATGAGAGGGAAGGGGTCAAATAACATCTCAGCAGCTAAAATAGTCTCAGTAGAATGAACACTTAGGACGACCAAACGGGAACAAACATGAACGAATGCGAACAAAGTGAGATCTAGTAAAAATGCTGAAGTCGAATCCACAGCAAGAATCTGTTAGTTCAATGGATATGCAGTAAACTAAGACATTTAGACAGCGAACTCGAAAACAGCAGAGTGTCCATCACGTAAGCCCTAGCCTTGAACACTGACCGACCCACCAGCAAACTCAGGCATCGCCTCTTCTCACCGTTAGATGGGCGACGGTGCCCGCCCGGCCGACCGCGGCGAAGTCTGAGACAATGAGGGTGGTCGGTCGCCGGTCAATGGATGAGAACCGACCGGGGACGGCGCCGCGGCCGGCACCACCTCGCCCGCGACCACGCGCCCTGCGAAGGGGCAGTGGTCAGAATATGTCCGAAGTGGTACTAATAGATATTTGAACAAGGTTAGTGTACGCTAGCCAGCTCAATAAACAAAAGCAGCCAGTACCGTACAAATGTACAAGGCTTTCGTTTACCAGTAACCACGAAACCACCCAAGTATACCACGACTTACGATATTATCCAGCGATAATAAGACATTCAAACTTGACAGCCAGCCTCCGAGTTGCGTTCACACGGAGTAACTGTCACGGCCCTGTCTGAGCATCCCCGTCTTACCTGGCGCCCCTGCCGCGGCCTCGGGTCGGCACGGCGGCCTGTCGGAGGCGGGACAGCCGCTGCTGTAGCTCCTCCGTCTCCGCTCCAGCCATCTGCCTCTGGTATAAGGCGAGCTCCAGGTCTAATACCTCTCGCTCGGTCTGGGGAGGGAGACAGCAGGTCAGGCAACTACCTCTGGCATAGGGCTAGCTAGAGGTCCAATGCTTCCCGTTCAGTCTAGGAAGAAGGGAAGTAATTCCTTTGATAGGTAGACGGCGGTCTCCTTTGATGGGCGTAACTCGCAGTCCAAGATCAGCTGAACATAATTATGTAGGAAACTGAAAGTGTCTGAACGTTAATGTCGCTTTCCTATTTTTGCTGTAAAAAGCACTACGTAGTCGACACCGCCACATGTAAGACACCACAACAGCTGGCGCCCTCTCAGCTAAAGACGTCTATCTGTCATGATAGCCCCTTCCACTCCGTACCTCCTGCGGCAGACCGGCCGCCAGTTTAGCCGCCGGCTGGTCTGTGGTGCCCGCCTCCCTTCCATCGGCCGGGTGCGCCCTCCTCAGCGGCGCCCTGTGCGCGGGCGCGGGCGCCGGCCGGGGCGCCGCTCCGCGCTCTAGGGCCGCCGTCAGGCCGGCGCGCGTGCTCTGGGAAGCGGCCTGTAGGGCGCGCAGAGCACCCAGCAGCGCCTGCCGCTCGGCCGGCCGCAGACCGGGGCTGTCCAGGCGCGCCAGCAGGTGCCGCTGTTGCTCCAGCTGCCGCTGTAACAGGTCTGCCTCCCGGCGCTGCAGCTCGGCCGCCAGCCGACGCGCCGCCTGACCGACAAAAGGGCAGGGGTAGGGTCGACACGTGAGCAGGGGACAGGGCATGGGCAGGGACACATGGGCAGCTCCGCCGCCAGCCGCCACGCCGCCTGAAAGGGCAAACGGCAGTAAATCCTAGACCAGCTGTGCTGGTAAAGAGACTGATATCGAGTAGTGGGTATGCTATTCTAAACGGTTATCCGCCGATCATCATGCGCTAACAAATTATCTTGCATTCAGTTTGCAATGAAAAGACATGAGAAACAATAAAAGGGCAAATTGACTCACAATTTTTACGAAATCAAGTGGCATCTATCCACTGAAACATGAAAGCAAAGCGTGCGTACCCATAATTTCCTCCACACTATCTCACCTCTCGTTTCTCCTTGCGTTTGGCCTCCAGCGCAACATTGGCAGCCAGCAGGTCCTGTGACCGGCGTATCTCCTGGCGTCGAGCCTCTGCGATCTCCTGGTTCTGACGGCGCGCCTCTGCTGTCTCCTCCGTGGGGAGTCCAGCTGACGTCTGTTCCTGCTGCTGGGACTGTGGGAGTGCCTGCCACACCTCAGACGCTGATGGCTGATCGTCAGCCGAGTCCTGTTCCTGTGACGCGGCTGGCGAGTCGTCTGGATATGCTGGCGCTGTATCACCGTTATTTTGTGGTAGATGTGATGCTTGTGATGCGGAGTCGAGTTCACTTTTCCGTCGTGCTGCGTCGGGGTTCGCGACAGTTCGTTTCAAACCAGATAACGCCATCTGTGGAGAGAAAACGGTATATGAGAGATACGCGCGCACCTTACGCTAAGAATTCGGAGAATCTCGAGGCGAAACTACAAGAAAGCTGCGAGACCATAATCACCACACAAACCACTTCTCACGCAGACACACCCATCAGAGTAAACAAGAACATGACACCACAACGCCCAGAAAACAACAAAGTCTCACCGCCGTTACACGCATCTCTATCAACATTTTCACGAATCCAACACTTCTTCTGAGCAACAACACACGGCTATGCAGATCTGCGGTTCTCAGATTGCCACACATCTCACCTGTCGCCCGCCAAAGGCCGCTCTGTCTCCATGGGGGCGCACTGAGATCTGAGCACAGCCGAGCACCGGCTTCGGAGACGAGAGCGCCGCCTCTGCCTCCTCTGAGCTGTCAAAGGTTACCAGCGCTGCCGACGGATCGCAACCGAACGAGACCTGGGGGCAGGAGAGGTCAGGTCAGGTTAGGTCAAGCGAGGTCAGGTCGGGAGCTGTCAGACATAACCAGTGTCGCTGACGGGTTGCACCCGAACGACACCTGGCGACAGGAAAGGTCAGGTCAGATCAGATCAAGCCAGGGGCTGTCAAAGGCAGCCAGAGCTGACGTAAGGTCGTGTCCAAACACCAGCTGGTGGCGGGAGCGGTCAGGTCAGGTAGGGTGGGGTGAGACGCCCCTAAAGCTGTCGAAGATCGTCTAAACACCTGGTGGCGTCGGCAAGGCGTCATATTAGACCAGTAGAGATATGGCCACGGTAAGGCGCCGGTCATTTCCATACCAGCTGTCTCATAAATAAAATACAAAGCGAGCGCATAATGTTAATTTTGGGAATTTACGCATGTTCTGATTTTCACGAGCGCGAAGTTTCACAATGGGCATGGGCTGTTGTACAAATGAAGCAATCTTACAGGTCAAATACCGCAAGGACCTCGTAGTACGATATTATCTGCATATTATCACAACATTCTGCTACGAAAAGACACAATAAAACAGCTATGACCGGGTTCGCCACACGGTCTTTGATAAAGCCGACATACAACTTAAACATGAAGATCACACACATCTATCAACATGTATCTGTGCTAAGATTTAGCTATCACACGCATTATGAGATGTTGCAACTTGCAACCAAAAGAGCCGTTCTTTTGAATCGGCATCCTTCGTTTCTTCTATCCTGATTGAGACTGAAGTTCGTTGAAATAAATGCAAGGAGCCCATATTCGTATTACCTATATATGACCTTGCGTATAACAAGGGAAAAGAAATGTGAGAGCAATCCGATCGTGAGCTTGATTATATTATTTTTCAGCAGGAAAAAGGTCCGGTCTATTCAGACACCCCATGACAGCAGTAATACAGGGTGTCCAGAAAAAACGGATACTATTATTTTTTGCTGTAATTCCGAAAATAAACACCTTACATTTTAAAATGGCACATGCTTGTATTCGCCAAAATATGGCAAAACAGACAGCAGGTGCCACATGGCATGTAAACTCTTTGGTTAGTTGCGGCAGCTCCTCAAAGCAGATACTCAATGTGAGCGGCCTTACGGCGGATCAGCTCCAGCACTAGCACAGTCTGCAGGTGACTGATGGTCATGTTGACCATCTCGGAGGGCAAGCAGACAACTTTCCAACGACGCATTACAGTGCTCATGAGTTTTGCCAAATCTTGCACTATAAGCACATGAATTTGGAACAAAATCGGCACGTGCGTTAATGAATGCGACTTAATTTCCGTAGTATCTTTTTTTTCTGGACACCCTGTAGATACTGGGCAAGCAGCTTGCAAAGGACACAGCTACAGTAAATCGTGACTGAAATGAACGTAAGTGTTAAGCGCCGTTGAATGATATTGACACGAGCATACCGACAATGAAAAGGCTACGAATAAAGTGCGTCGCCGCAGATGGCACGCAAAGTTCATGAGCCTTGAAAGCCGGATCAGCACAACAAAAAGACAAACAATACACACCTGATCTACAAACCACAGAGTCCCTCACACAGCACGAGACATGTGTCACTTCCCTGTATGTTACTAACTTTCAAAGCATTCTGTCTAACATGTCATTGTCATGATTTACGATAAGTTTTGTGACAAGTTGGCGTGTGCCGAGGGCGAGGAACGACACCGAAGCGGCACGGGAACCACAAAAACCAGGAAGGGAACCACAAGAGCGGGCCGCGTCCTGGAATCACGAGCGGTGGGCTCGGGTAAACAATGGAAGCCACGCCTCACGGTACGGGAAACTATACCAGGCACGTTCATTTTTGACATGTTTGAAGTGCAAGGCATTGTTGCACGTGTCACAGCTGTGTAAGGCACGAGACGCGGTGCAAGCGTGACGCAACAGGGAAACTTTAGTCTGGGGAATCAGCATTTATCGTAAACCGGGCACAACCCACACCGCAGTCGCCGAATAACTTACCATCCTGGCACGTCAAATGCCCCTCTGAGGCCGCACAGACCTCCGACGTACACAAGTTACCCGGAGCTCTGCCCCAGCCCAGACACCACCGCCGGTACAGACGGACTAGCACTGTCAGCTGGCCGTACCGACCCCCGAGAGCCGCCGAATGCATCACAGAACGTGAACCAACCTGCCCAGTCTGACCCGTATAACGCCATACGACAGCCGGCCATAGTTCAGATCCGCCCACCGTATCAGAAACGAAATCCACCAGATGTCTGATTAGCGACGCAAATCATTTCGCGAAGAAGGTTATCAAGAAAAAATCAATTTACCGTGCCACTATCCGATAATTTACATTTAAACACACGCCCCTGACGAAATCACTCGTGACGTCGTGCAGACAGGACAGAACGTGAAGAGACTGAAGCCCGTGACCTGTACTACTGACGTGGACAGACAACCCCCCACCCCCGGTGCATAGAGGGCGCGGCGCCTGTTCGAACCTGTATGTTGACGACGCGGCCAAACTCCGACATGTAGTCGTTGAGCGGCATAATCTGGTTGAGGTGAGGCGGGATCCCTTTCAGGTGGAGACTGCAGGTGTCGAGAGGCCGCCCGCAGCTCTGTAAGAGAGGTCAGGTCAGGTCACGTCAGGTCACACCAGGTCAGATAAGATCAGGCCATGGAATTCGACAGCACAGAAAACGTCAGCTTTGTGGGGCTTGCACGACATATTAAATCACATGGAACGATAATCTGACACATCAATCCAGTTATAAATTATTCGAATCCAGTTTCACAGTTACAGCTGTCAAAGAAAGTGACAATTCATCTAGCGTAGCGACAGGTCTGATTGAAATAATACTTCTTCAGAGAATCGAAAGCACAGATCGTATTCAACAGTTCCATTGCAACCGCCAACCATCAAATATAAAAGAAACTAAGGATTAATAAATCGAACGTGTGGTCATCGGAAAAAAACTCCCCTGACCCCCTGTTGACTGCCTCAGCTGTGTCCCTACCCTGGATAGCCACAGGACAACCATACCAGTCAGACAGTACCGTATTAATCCATTGACCAGTCTACCGAGCGGATAGAGCCGCTCTGACGTCACGCAGTGTGCTAATTGACGATCAAAGACAGACAAAATGCGCGTATTACCAGACAGTTTCCTCAGAGTTCATCGGGGTGTTAAATCGCGCACAGGTGTAGAGGCCAGGTGGAAGACGACAAGCACTTTTTAAGCATTGAATAAAGAGAAAATATGTGATATGCGAGAAATAATGATCGTATGACAAAAGCACGCACGTATGTATACCTAATTATAGCCTATCTATTTTTCATGCTATGCAAAATTGTCTGGGAACCCACGTTTGCTTTTCAATAAAAACAAAATTGTAAAGAATCGTGTTTTCAACTTTAAAACACAAACTTGCGGTTACAAAAAAAAACTTGTTTTGTGACGATGTTGTCTGTGTTTTTGAAGAGCAGTGAGGTTTGCCCTTCGAGCAACGATAAAATACCAAGTATTTAAATTTAAACAATAAGCTTCATTTTATTTATTTAAAGTCACTTGTATACATTTTCAGATTAGCACGCAGAACCAAACTGCTGTATTCATCGGAATTCTACAGTCATAACTCATAAGCATTAAGCATACCCAGCTTGCTCGAAACATGTGCAAAATTTTAGCCATACGACGCGTTGGGGGAAGTCCACAGCGTTTACTTGTCGAGTAATCGGTTTAGCTGTGTTTTTAGGAAGCTCTTACATGGCTAGTCAGCTCGGCTATACACGAATCACCAGTAAACTCGTAGACAACCGTTCCATAACGGGGATTGGTTGACGACGTCATATCTAGCCATGTACCATTTCTACCAACATGTTTTTGTCATTTCCACAGACAATCTTTCAAGAAATTACACCAAAGCAGACGCTGTTTTTGGACATGACCGCTCGCACGTAAAATCTTCTCTGTCTGTTGTGGTGAGACGAAACGAATTCACAGTAATGACATTTCAAACCACAGCCACGGACTCGTTCATAATTAGGATGAACGTCTTCGGACTACGGAAATGGGAGTGGCGACAATATGAAGCCAGACTGTCGTGGTCTTGCTCCATCGAGTAAAATGTCCAATCTATCCATGACATGAATAGCAGTATGACTACAGATTAAACTCAGTTCTGGCACAATTTGATGGATGTTCGAGGGACGAAAAAAGTAACAGCTAACCAGTGTTTCTTTGATAAAGAAGCTGTATTGACATCGATCCATAGACTGGGCCGAAAGCGTAAAATTCCGACATGTGATTTTAAGATGCAAGATACCCAGCGGAAATTTTAGTACAATGCATTCGCAATACTCATGCTCGATTATAAATAACGGGTAAACACTAAACAACAAGGGACGTCGTAGTCAATAAGGGCCACATGAGCACACGCCGCCGTCGGAGAGCACACGCCTCGACCGGGGCCGTGAACCAGACCGGTGAAAAAGGGCCGTTCAGCTACAGAGCCTGAACGACGCAGAACCGTTTCACGCTAAGCGCTGCCACTGCGGTTGACAGCTACAAATAAATCGCAGCAAACCACCGGTAAAAGTGGTCATCTCAAAACCTTAGCATCCGTTTCCTTCAAGTTATGGCACCAATGATGATAAAATCGTGACCGCCATACCGAATCAACATGGAAATAAACAAATGTCTGTCAGAAAAAAGTACAGCAAGACAGACCACTTCTCGGAACAATATCCTGGAGGCATGACGATAAAGGGGTTAAACCAGATCGAGATAGTGCGAATTCCGATAAAAGTGTGGACGAGAATGACCACAATGGCGTGTAGGCATGTTAAAAACACCGATCACAAGGTCATGTATCTCGTCAACTAGCTGTAAATAGGGCGTGTAGGATGGCTGAACGATTGACAAAAAGGGGGATATGGGGCACGATAAGGTGATTATAGTTCGTTCATTAGGGTTTACGGGCGCGTCGACTGCGGTGGTCGATTATAGTGTCCTGTCCAGCGTAAAACGCATCTCCCATTAACCTTCGCCCTGGTGGGGGGGGGCCATTTTGGCCCCCCCCCTGTGGTTTTTCAGCGATAACTCAGAAACCACTTGAGTTAGCGCCCTGAAACTTTGTATAGCTGTTTATTCAACATTTTTACATCATGTCCTTTTTTGGGGGGTTCGGGTCAGGTCAGGTCAGGTCACAAGGTCACCAAAACTGACACCACCTCTAAAAAAGTTCAAAGCTCTCTCAAAGGCACAGCTTTTATCCGATCGATGTAAAATTTACAGTACTTGAAGATGTCACCCAGCTCTACAAAATGGCTATCTCGGATTTTTTATAAATGTGACCTAAGGTCAGGTCAGGTCATCGCTGCTCCCCATTATAAGTCAATGGGAGAATCGAAAAGTAGTTGTTTTTCAGCTAAATCGGGCGTGATTGTTCCTATATTTCGTTATTGAAGTGTCTTGGGTCAGCAAATCACAGCCCATGTGAAACCAGTTGCTTGTGACCTCGCTGAGGTCACGCTAGGTCATCTCCCTGGTCACCAGAGGTCACCAGCGGTTTTTCTGCACTTACTTGTTATTGAATAGAGATAGAGACTCCGTTCGACGTTTATCGTGTTTGTCTCGTCAATGCGGATCGAATGATATGCAGCATGACCTATTTCGGTAAGGTCATGACCTTGACCTGAGGTCAAATTTTCAAAATGACCTTTCGAGGTCAAACTATATATCATTCGACGCGTCTCGACGAGCCAAGCACGATGGTGCATGAATCGTTTCTCTATTTTCTCGTGAATGCATGCTATAGTTAAAAACATTTTCAACGAAATTTGCCAAGTTGACCTTGCATGACCTCTGTAGGCCAAACCGTTGAGCTGAGGTCAAATCTGACGAACCTTGGCGAAAGAGCTTGAAAAGAGCTATCGATTGCTTTTTTCCGCGGCTCTCTAGCTCTTCTAGTTTCCGAGCTACAGCGGAATATGTCCGGCAACACCGAAAACACTGAAATTTGACCTATGATGACCTCTAGCGACCTCAATATTGACCTTAGCGAAAAAATGACCGAAATACTTTCGAACGTACTTGTTATGGGCTTTCGTTTGCTTTTTTCCGCGTCTTCCTAGCCCTCTTCGTTTTCGAGTTAGACGGGGGGGGTCATTTTGGCCCCCCCCCACCAGGGCGAAGGTGGCTCAGACCCACACCAGGGCGCGGGTTAACGCGAGGTCAAACATACGCTAAACCGCTTGACCTGTGTTCACATAAGACAACTACACGTAATAATACAAACTTCGCATGCCGGCCTACGCACGAGCAGGCACGACGTAACCGCACCAACACGGTTGCGTGTGACGCCCTCGTCGCGGCTAAATATACCACAGTCGGCGGCGGGCGCCCCACGCACGGACGCCTCAGACAGGTGCGACCTTGAAGCTGCTATATCGGGAGTTCGTGGCGGGGCAGCCGGCACGAGCCGTGTCGCTCCATACGTCCCCTCCCCCTCTCCCTGCCCTCTCAGCCCCTCCCCCGTCTGGTGAATCGTAGCTGGGGTGATCACTTGAAGGGCCTTTCAGGCATCACGGTGTTGAGAGTAACTCTGGGAGTAAATAGATTACGCAGCTGGATAAGCGCATAAATTGTGAGACTGCTGTTTCATGAAAATCTAATGAGATCTAATGAGTTATATATTGCACTTTGGATAACGTGCATAGCAAGCTTAATTTATAAGCGTTCCATAAAAATGATCGGTAAGAGCGAAAACTGTTTTAACTTTAATAAAAACATCGATTTCCGATCAGAAATGACAGCTGAATGTAGAAAGCTGTTATTTTTCTTTTTGTCTCCAGGCAAACAGCTGTGGATAAACTTTCCCACTAAGTCCAAAAACGGAAAGCTGTTATTTCCATTGCCACTTATATTCATAGGTGGATTTCCCACCGCACTTACGTTAGTGAATGCCATATCAGATGCTGGCCGGGAATTTCAAAACATCGGAAAATATCAGCCACCTTTTGGAAATATGGATGGGCGTTGAGCACCGCAGAAAACACGTCACGTAATTCCAGCATTACGCCATGTCCAGTCGACATAATTCCCGGTCATACCACTGTGGAATGGATTTCAAACGCACTGTAGTGTTCATGCTTAGCATCCTACGATCGTTCTCACTCCCTACGATATGCAGCAAATCGTTAAGCTAAAAAAAACCTTCAAAAAGTTACCAGATAAAATAGCTACACCGGTTAGAGAACCGCTGGTCAGCGCGTAGAAAGCTGCTTCGTCATTGTTCCGTCGCAACCATACGCCGCTACAAGAAAACACGAGAAACTGCGCCGCGAGACGAAGGGACGACAAATCAATCCCTGTTCAAACGCAGGCCAGAGACGCCGACGACACGGTAAACAACTAAATCGGTTTCACTGGTGGGGAATCCCACAAAAGCTCAGACCAGGATTGATAGTTCGCTACGAAACGCGTGATCGCAGTTTCAAACTCTACCCTCTGCGTAGTGGTACGCAGAACACACATCTCAAACAGCGTGTACACACACGTGAATAAAAAAGCAGATAAAACACCTTCCAACATCCAGTAAGTCAACTGAAGTGAGTTTCAACGCTCGCCACCACGCCTTGTCCCGACTGACCTGATCAACGCTGGCAGCCTGAGATGGCAGCGCAGAGACCTGCTGTCGTGCAGATGCGGCCGGGAGGGAAGAAAGGCACACTGTCTGGCCAATCGGCTCCGGATGAGACGGCTCTGAGACAGCGGAGAGACAACGGGAGACGTGTGAGACAAGGGATGTTACACGGATAGTCACAGCATCCAGCGGAGACGAACAGACTGTCTCAAATGTTACTATAAGCTGCAAGAGACAACTGACTACGGAGACTCAGACTACCTGACACAAGCAACAGCCAACATACCAACAGCCAACAGCCAACAGCCAACAACAGCCAACACAAGCAACAGCCACATGCGACTACCGGGACTACTCACGGAGACAAACGAAAGTTACACACTGCACAGACTGCTGCCAGGAACACGCAAACGGATTGGAATCGGAAGCGGTACTGACAGTGCTACGAGGCGCCCCAGAAGATTGCCGTACGGTGCCGGTCGGTATCCTACGAGGAACATGCGCCCGAAATGCATTATTACGCCCAGGTGACGAGCCATATTCAACAAAGGATTGCCAAGCATGGCTGGAGAAAGAGAGGCGTCTCACGAACATGGCGGTCCAATCGGATTACAATGCGGAACTAGAATTCGCCAGAGAAAACTGACGCTAACGAATGTTGCTATACCAAATGACACTTCATACATAGGTAGCCCACCCGTTCCCTTTCACAGTCGGTTCAATACGAGAACGTCCGGATTACGGAAGTCGGCCGGGAGCGGTCGAGAACGCCCAATACGAGAACGTCCGGATTACCGGAACAGAAAATGACAACCGATGACGTCGTGTCGAGATCACTCCCTGTTGGTCTTAGGGCTACGTAAAACACCACGGAGGCTACCCTTGTATGTTGTCAGTACTGACTGAATGCTATCAACGAGTCGCTATGTGCTAAATCCGCTACTGTGTTTATTAGCTACTCACCGGCGGCGGCAGCGGCGGTCGGCGGCGGCTGAGGCTGGCTGAACGGAGCCAGCGGTGCAGGCCCGCCGGGAGCGGTCACCTTCGCCGGACTGTACTCTAAAGGGCTGTCGTCTATACTGCGCTCTGACAGCGGAGAGGGTACGGGTCAGGTCACAGGGGAGGTCACAGGTGAGGTTATAATGGGCTAGAGTGCAGCACGTCACACGTCATATCAAAGGTCAGGTCACATCTCACAGCTTGTCACCACAGGTCACATGGCAACAGGCGACATGTCAATAGGTCTGTCTACGAGGTAGATCACATGCCTAAAATGGTGAGTTATGAGACAGCCGCCATGTTCTAAGCAAGTTAACTACAACCTAAGCTAAGGCATCGCCCAGGCTTACATAATGTGAGATTGCTTTCTCGACAAAAAGCTCCCTAAAAACAATCAAGCATAACACCGAGTTTAGACAAAAGCACACAATGAATATTGCTTCATCCTCCAAAACAGCCACTGAGCTTTGTATCGGGGTAATATTGACGATGGCGTGCTCCTTGTAAATGAATGATTCTCAGAGAACCCGCACCTTCAGATAAGGTGCATAAATCGGACGGTGGATTTCTAGTAAAAACGGCCGGATGGACTGGTGCGCCGACGAAATACACGAGTTTGTAGCATAGCATAGCGAGGATAATTCCATTTAAGCATAGCCATCTGTTTTGGAAGCGATAACGGATATTCCTTAGTGCTATTTTCTGACAGCGACATGGAAATCCTTGCGGTAAACACAAGGCCATATTTGAGCTAAATCGTCTGCGATAGCTTCAAATGTCCAATCTGCTTCCCTTACACGCCTCAGTACGATCTGAAGTTGGGAAATACAACAAGTCGGTCGTCTGAATGTCCATTCGGACTCTGAAGCCGTCAATTTTCCACCCGGATGCCATACCACAGCTCCAGTCATGTTAGTTGACCGTTAAACACCGAAGATCCCAACTCAAGTATACGACATTAGCAACAGCCTTGAACATTGATCTTAGGGGAGATAAATGCGACGATAAGTAGAGGAACATGCACATGCAAGGAGAGGAAGAAACGGGGAGAGAGAGAGAGAGAGAGAGAGAGAGAGAGAGAGAGAGAGAGAGAGAGAGAGAGAGAGAGAGAGAGAGAGAGAGAGAGAGAGAGAGAGAGAGAGAGAGAGAGAGAGAGAGAGAGAGAGAGAGAGCGAGAGAGCGAGAGAGCGAGAGAGAGAGAGAGAGAGAGAGAGAGAGAGAGAGAGAGAGAGAGAGAGAGAGAGAGAGAGAGAGAGAGAGAGAGAGAGAGAGAGAGAGAGAGAGAGAGAGAGAGAGAGAGAGAGAGAGAGACTCATGCTTCTGCAGCAGATCCAGCTGGCCACGCCCATGATTTGAAAAAGCGGCGCAATAGCCCCTACTCCGACGCATCACGATGACATTGGGCGGACCCACATACACAATGTACCCAGCCAGTACACCGCACGACTGTCAACTCTGACCGGGAATTCCGACACCGCTTACAGCTACGCTGAACCCTCTAAAATCAGTTACGAACGGAAATGACCTTGCAGTCGACGCGCCCGTAAACTCTGGCGAACCAGCCACCTAACCCCAAACCCCACCTGTTCACAATATCCCATCGTACTACCTCATAGAAGCAGCTCAGAATCCAGTACCACACCATCATCATCATTTCGGCATCATCATCATGATCACCACGCCCTCCGAATCACGTATTGCGTAGGTGGCCGTGCCCCATCTAGATCGTATCTCCACCAGCACGGCACCGACGATCTACGCCGTGGTGTCGGCCGGTTCCACGGAGCGCAGGTCACTCACCGTTCGCGTCCCGACCACGCCTCCTGCCGAGCGAACCGCCCAGACGGTGACGGAGGTCGGTGAAGGGGCTCGGACGGGCGTCGGGACGGGCGTCGGGCCGGGGGTCGGGACGGGGGTCAGCGGACGCCGGCGCTGAGGTACCTGCGGGGGAGGGGAAACAGCGGTTAGCGGGAGGAAAGAAAAAGGGAGCTTGAAGAGATGGAGGAAAATAATGTAGTAATGCAAAATATGATGATAATTGATAAGCACAAAAAATGGAGACTTAGAAGTGCAAACAACATAAAACAGTCTTCAAATTACTCCGTGAAATTGGAATTCTGCAACACGGCGAATTCACCGATCTTAGAGCCAACATATCAAAGCACGCTGGAACTCACCGTTACTTGCCGAGTTCTCGGCTGGGCTTCCACTGTCACGACTCGAGGCGTTCATGCCGTTACTGTTTGGACAGGCGGGAGAGTCGGTAACGGCGGCAGTGCCGTTCGTTTTGTCACCGAGGCGGTCCGACACGGCTGATGCGCCGGGGGAACTGGGCGAAAAAAAAAACAGAAAATTTGATGATAAATTTGAAGTTTATGAAGAATTTGAAATATTACCATAAGAAGTTGACCCAAATTACTATACTCTAGCATACACTATCGAAATTGGCTCCATAACAGTTATTTCGCATACGTCTCCCATTCCATCGATAAAACATAATAAATCGATACCACAAAGAGTCATATGTAGAGTTCATTTGAAACGCAAAACGTCAAAAAAAAAAAAAAATGAAGCACTTGGCAAGATAATCGTCCAATCATAACTCTCGACCCCCTCCCTGCCCAACACCCTTTTCTCCCAGTCCCTCACTCAGCTCCCCAGCCTCGCACCTGTTTGTCTCCTCCGGGGGCAGCTGGACCAGCCGTCGGGGCGGCGGGGCCACGGGCAACGTAACCACGCGGCTCTCAGCGGGTCGAACCGCGTACACGCCCGACGCCAGCGCTGCCAGCAGTCGATCGGCGAACAGGGGAGTCTCCTCGTGTAGAAACACATCCAGCTGCTCGAGCATGGTGACACGCAGCCGCTCCGGCGAGCTCGCCTTGCGTACCAGCGCCAGAACGTAGCGTGCTAGCTTGGTTGGTTGAGCGTCGGACCTGTAATGTCACACGGGGGTAATGTCAGTGGTAAATGAAACAGGCAGATCAGAAGAAGAACATACTCGTAGGGACGGGAGACAGTGTTCAGTTGAAAAATAGGTTGAGAAAGAAGCTGTTATTGACTGAGAAAGGAAACATATGCTGGGAAGTGAGACTGATCGCCCATAATGGACCTCAGTGTCAGTGATTAGGTACCAATCATAGAAAACAGTACCTACACATACAAATATAGCATTTTTTTTTTAAATTAATTTAGTCCGAACCTTTTGATGGGAAGGATTCACAAGGACAGAGCCACCGCTAAGCGAAGCTTGTTGCGATGACCCTGCCCTCTGCCCTCCGATCGCGCAATTCCGATTCTATGGCAGAATTTAGAGTCCAAAGTTTAACGTGCGCACAAAGCCGCGCACGGCCGGTCCCCTCGCTGACTTCACCTGGCTACGGCCTGCCACCAACCGCAACCATACCTGTCAGGAGGCCCATAAATGTCGAGCGCCCGTCGCGCTTCGAACCCGGACTGTCATAACCGGGAACGCGTGCTCTCACCACGGCTCAGTTGGTTAGCCACGGGACTAAGTTTAGTAATTTATTTAGTAACTAGCCACGGTTACTAAATGCATTACAATGCAATGTGTTGTAATGCATTTAGCTTGCATTACAACACATTAATTAAAAATGAGAAGCTGCATGCACTTACATATGTTCCAAGATATCAGCCATCCATTGTTTCAATGCATCTGGCTTTTCAACAATCATCTTGAATAATCACACCTGGAGATGCATCAAAGTGGTCAAAAATATAAGCATTGTCCTTTACATTTTTAGTATTATGCATAATGTATCTAGGATGTTGCAGCACCCCCCCCCCCCCCAGACCTGAAGAGGAATCACAATAACAATGACATTGGCAGCTATATAAATATAATTGTTTTTATTTACATATGACAATTAGCTTCCTGCAGTTTGCACTGAAAAAAACACAGATGCATCATGATTCATGTGGCATTATTAAAACTCAAAATCAAAAGCTACTTACATGTAGCCTAGCCATTTACATGTAATCTCAAGCATAGCCTAACTGCAGACTAGAGTAAAGTGCTCTCCTCCTAAAAGTCATCATAATTGAGAGTCCAATATGTAGATTAGGTATGAGGATTTTGTTGAAGGTATCTAAAAATAGAAAATCAATAAATACCTAAAAATCATCTAACAGTCACTTAGCCTCACAATTCTAAACTTAGTCAAAGATGAGAACATACTTTGACAGGCATGTTCTTGGAAAAATATTGAATAGTTAGACCATTGGTTTATTCAAACCACATACAGGTTGCTTCATACTTGAACTCTTGGCTAAGTAGCACATAATTCCACAAATATCCAATGGAACAAAATTATAGGGAATGAGTAAAGACTGCAGAGTGTGTCCCCCCAAAAAAAATAATTTTTTTAATATCCCTTGTCCTAGCCCTAGAATTATTTTCATATTCAGGAAATTGAATAACATGAAAGCAGCTAAGTTAGTGTGGACCTCAGCTTCAGTGATACTGAAAGAGATAGTTGATAGCAGCTTGGATTGCAGTTGCCGTATACAAAATTCGTCTGGTTACGCTAGAGTCAAAGGTATGGAATCTAGGGACACATGGACAAAGACTCAAATCAACCCAATGCCCAATATCTTGAAGAATCTTGCCATCTTTGTAGATTTGGGTGCGGGATAGCGTTCTATAGCTTTGACACGTAGGTAGCCATCAGGCTCAAGCATTCGACCAAACCAATTCCCTGATGTTTCTGAAATAAATTATTTCCTTGAAAGACAAAAAATATCGAAAAAAATTAATCATCCCGTTCTGACTTTGCAAATGACATCTACGAATAACGAGCATCTGTTTATGTTTGAACGCGAGCTGTAGCCCGTATCAGTAGGTATGCTCTTGCTCTGAGACAGCATGATGGTAATCGCAAACGTGACATTCCCTATATACAGCCTTAACTTATTTAAACAGCGCACACTATAAAATAATAAAAAAAACGTGAATATCACCTTTTGCAACTGTTTTGCAACTTATTCTAGCCACAACAACGTAACAACGCACTCAAAACTCATGCTTGAACACGATTCACGAGTGACTTTGACTGCGCCGCAATGTGTATTGCTGCGCCGGCATATCTCTCATGCTACAGCTGCCATATCGCTACCAGTTTCCTTCATCGCTAAATCACCATATCCACAACATGGGGCCATGAATCTCGCCGGCTTTGGGATTGATTGATCTGACTTGTTCCATTTTATGCAACAAAAATGCAGTGTTGAAGAATTTATAAGAAAAAACAACCAAAAGTCCTTCGGGTCACAGTCTGAACAGTTCAGCATAGGCCAAGAAGAAAAATTGGCATGAGTACCTATAGTTATTATCCACCGATTTTTACGCTAACTATTTATGTAAATGCGATTGGGGTCCACTCAGCCCTCAGCCACCTGAGCCACCCCCTCTTCTCCGCTAGATATGCGGGAAAGTAAAAATGCAAACTTTATGATGATATTAAACCCGCGCCGTGCTGGGTGGGTGGGCCCCCCCCCCACCCGGAGCGTTTTACGCCCCCCCCCCCCCCACCCTAAGGTTTTTCGCGAATGTCCAAAAACGGCGGGGCCGGCTGTCGTTTCTTACACCTGTTCATACATCTTTTCCGCATATGTGAAAATTTCAGACCCCGTTCGTTCAAGGTCAGGTCACCATGAGATAACGTCAAGTTTAGTGACCTTGGCTCAGGAAAAGTTCAAAGGCTCGCTGAAGCTATACTCCGACCGAACGATCACTTTGAAACTTTCAGCGATTCATAAGAGCATGTATAAGAATGTATGATGTATAAGTCCTATGTATAAAACGCACATCTTGGAATTTTGATATCTGTGACCTAGGGTCAGGTCAATTTTGCGACTTCTCCTTTATAAGTCAATGGGAGAAAATTGAAATGCGCCTCATTTTGATGAATGTCGTTCTAAACCCTCTCAAACATCGGTCCATGAGTACATAAACATGACACACTGAATCGGAAAGCTGTACGCGTGACCCCTCCAGGTCATCTCAGGTCATGAAAGGTCATCAACATCTTTTTTGCTATAACTTTACGTGCACGTCTCTTGAGGCCTATGCTAGAGCGGTGAAGACACGTCAGATGTGTTCCGTTCGACGATATGGATCGACTTATATGCAGCATGACCACCCTTTAAGGTCAGGTCATGACCTGGACCTGAGGTCAAATTTTCAATTTATAAGTCATTCGACACGTCTCGACGAGAGGAGCACGATGCTGGTCAAAGTAGGTAATGTCGTGGCTCTCTTGATTTGTCCTCTGGCTGGAGGCTAAACCATTGACCTCAGGTCAAATCTGAAAGCAATCCACGGAAATATCTGTGAAAGAGCTATCGAATGCACTTTTCCGCGTCGCTCTAGCTCTATTGGTTCCCGAGTTATGCGCTGGGTGTTTCGAAAATTGTTGAAATAGGAAAAATTTGACCTTTGTTGACCTCTATTGACCTGACCTCTGACCTGACCTAAAAAAATAACGAGGTATTTCCATCATTTTTTTTTACCCTCTTTCGAATGCCGCTTATCGCATGTCGCTCTGTGGCCAGGGAGCCGAGTTAGATGGGGCGGGGCGTGAACCCCTCTCCCAGCAAGACACGGAAAACTCAGACCACCAGCACGGCACGGTAAAAAAAAACATTGCCGCATTTTGTCTTCCAATTACCAAACAACCTCATAGCACCAACATGCATGCATTGTACTACAACTACACTCGTTTGGTTTTCACCCCCATAAAACAATATTCCATCCCATGTTAGCGCTGCTGAAATTTTTTGGGAGTCCGACCGAATTCGCCAGTCCAGTGTCACTAGCAGCCGCTTACGCCAAGAAACCGCCTAATACCAAAGGCGAGCCTAAATCCGCTAAAAGAGCTACAGCCGCTGAGCGAGGCGCGATTCACCAAACGCCCCTGAGCGCCCACCCAAAGCCTCTAACAGCGTCAGCGAGTTGAGACACCGTCAGCCCCGAGGCACCGGAAAGGGGAACAGACTTCAGACTGTGCGACAGGTGACTGTGCAGTGAGCTCCCCTGATGAGGCCCGGTGTTGACGACATGGACCTGAGCAGTTTTCCTTCGCGGCGGGTGCAATTAAACCGATAAAGACGTCAGTCAATGAGAACGTATTGAAGTTATCCTGCTGGTAAAGCGGCAAAACGCGTCAACACTAAACTAAGCTTCATCAATGAATCCAGCAAAAAGAATGCTGTTTTATGCCTTTCCGCCGGGACGGATGTGCTATATTGTCCCTACGAAGAGAGGCTCTTAGTAAACTGAGAACATATATGTTTTCCCTCATGATAAAGGTTTGGACGATTTACTAGGCTGCTGAAGGCTCCTGACTAGTGGTGTCAATTACGGAAAATCGGAATACCGATACCAAACCAAATGCCAACCAAAACCGTGGGGAAATACCGAAACCAAACCAACTTGAGAAAATGAGGGAAATACCTACTTTTTACCAATTTCTTAGCTTCTTATACATTAGTGAGGGTTCATGATACCAACAAAATACCAAACACATTGCGATTGAAATACCAAATACCAAGTTGGTATCGGTTTGGTATCGGTATACCAAAAAGTTGGTATCCGATTGACATCTCTACTCCTGACACATTGGGTCAAAGTCTAGGCGTAATGAAACCCAAAATGTTTTCACGTCATGCAAATGGCTAATGACTAGAGACTAATGATCATATACAACAATCGATTGCTTCCTTTCCCTTCCCTTTCTCCCTTTCTTTCTTTTCCAGTTTCATCTTCCTCCCCTGCCTATCTTTCGCTGTCTCTTTCTTTCTTTCTCTCTTCCATTCTCTCCCCTTTCCTCTCTCTCTCTCTCTCTCTCTCTCTCTCTCTCTCTCTCTCTCTCTCTCTCTCTCTCTCTCTCTCTCCTCTCTCTCTCTCTCTCTCTCTCTCTCTCTCTCTCTCTCTCTCTCTCTCTCTCTCTCTCTCTCTCTCTCTCTCTCTCTCTCTCTCATCTCTCTCCTCTCTCTCCAAAATAGTAACACATTCATAGTCACCACCCTCCAAAAGTAGGTACGGTTGCCAGAAGCTAATGTCTTCAGGAGCAGCCAGGATTAGTTTACCTTGTAACCGGCTTTCAGTTTGGCTGTGAAGCCCTATAAAACAAACACGAGCATTGACCGAGGCGAAAATTGCCCTCAGTTGAACAAAGGGCGTAGAAGCCTCTCCTGTCACCCTACTGGCCTAGTCATGGCTCGCCTGATCAGGTATGCAGTCAATGGCTAAAGTTGGCGGCTGGAGCTTGGCCAATCTGATCACTTTGAGGGGCCACTTGGAGGGGGCGGGACAGCCGGCTGTCCTACTCCCTAGCGTCAGTCTCAGTAAGCTGGCCTTGCTCACCGTGAGCGGGTGACACTTCTCAGGCGACTTGTGCATCGTGCATGATTATTGCGCACCTATACTTTCACAGCGTCCTCAGCTTCCGCATAAATGAATGTAATGCATTGCAGAGAGCCTCTTTACCTGAATCCATTGACAAAAAGTTTAACGACAATTCGGCGGTAAATCATAGACTGCAGTAAAATCCTAGCTAATGAGTAATGAGTACCTATGGCTACCGAGTATGATTTGTGCGTGATGATACCAACTAACATGACAGAACTGACTTCAAAAATTGGGCTGATCCAGTCTCTCACGACACGACAGCCTCGGCGTCTGGCGACACTTTTTGAGGCCACCGCTCTACTTCGGCATGTTTTCGCACCTCTTTCAGCCAACACCACCACCTTGACCCGTCCGTGGCCCCAGTGATTTGGGCGAGCCTTTCACCGGACGTAGAGCGGTGTCACATGTCACCTCTGTGAGGGCAGTGGCAGTGGAAGGTGGGAGGTATGCCAATTGCCAGCGGTGGTAGTAGCGCTGCGAGACCGGGGGTGAATGCAGAGGCAGAGAGAGGCAGAGAGAGAGAGAGAGAGAGAGAGAGAGAGAGAGAGAGAGAGAGAGAGAGAGAGAGAGAGAGAGAGAGAGAGAGAGAGAGAGAGAGAGAGAGAGAGAGAGAGAGAGAGAGAGAGAGAGAGAGAGATGAGAGAGAGGAGAGAGGAGAGGAGTGGAGAGAGAGGAGAGGAGTGGAGAGAGAGGAGAGAGGGGAAATGGATGGAGAGAGGGAGGGACAGAGAGGATGAGTGTGAGAGCCGAGAGGGAGGGAAAGCGGGGAAGGGAAAGAGAGAAAGAGAGACTGAGATAGAAAGAAGGCGGTAGAGAAGGACAGAAAGAAAGAGAACGAGAGGGAGGGGGAGGGAGAAAGAGGGGAGGAAGGCGATGGCAGAGGTCCAGGCGGAAGCACGGGCTGTAACGGAAGCGCGATAACGCCAGCGGTAGCGGTGACGTTGATTAAAAGTGTCTTGTGAACTCGGCTCACTGAAGCAATAACGCCGGTATTGTGGCCATCGTCCAGTGAGCTCTATATTGTAGTTCAAAGTGGGACGGGACGAGATGCAGTGACGCCTCGGTTGTTCAAACTTCCCAAATTTATAACACCGCTTACGACACAGGCTATTGGTTGCAAAGCACCAATGCATGGCAACGGCCGACGGGCACAGACAACAATGAGGCGCGATGTTGACAGGAAACATGTCACGTGGGAGGGGAAACAAACCAATTAGGCGGCCCGAGTGAAGTCAGAGGAAGAGTGGACCACCCAGATGTCTCGACTGAAAGGTTAGGGTTTCCGGTAAAACGGCTTTGAAGGATAGGGAAAGAGGGTACAATGCAAATTAGCAGGTTAGAGGCGATTCATGATTGACGGATTATGCTTATCAACGTCCGGTGCACGATTCTATTGAGGTGAGCAGACTTGTTCTTTTAATCTTTGTGAAAACTAAAAGTACTGATTCATTGCCTTGAATCTATGGACCAAATAAAAAAAATGTGATCTGACCGCGTATTCTCGTTTAAAGACAAATATACGACGAGGCACCAGCATTAATACCGACTTTATGCTCGCTGCGTTTCTGTTGCTTTCTATCCTTTTATCACCGGGTCCTTGTTATGGCATGCGTTGAGGTTTCCATCCATGCATTTGGTGTGAAAAGAGTACAAAGATTACACATCATTATATTTACAAGATAGCAAGACAGGAAAAACTACAAGTTTGCACACAAACAGGCAAAGAAATGAAACTGGCAATAAAGGCAATAAATAAAACATAGTTCACTGGTGCATGCCATCATTAGCACAATACATGCAAATTACCCTGGATGAAAGAATGCCGCTCCTGAAACTGGCTATAGAGCCATACAGTACTAAGGAGCCTCACTTTTTGGTATAGTCGAATCGCTTTCATATTCCTCGCCATAATTTCAGAAGCTCGAGGAACAGTTGTTGGTAAATGAAAGGCGCTACACACGATCGCATTGCACTACAAAGGACTGGATGTCACATGCTGAACGCTCCGTCAACACAGTGGCGGGATTCCACAGCGGTCAGAACCGAGTGACGATCCACTCAATACTATCACACTGGCGTGCACAGCGGTGCACCCGCCGCGTGCAACGGGCCGTCACACGACGACCCGAGCCGCTCAGAGACTCCACAGCCTGTTTCAGGCCGCGGCCGCGCGGCTACAGCCAGCACTACATAGCCAGGAAACGTCCACGACGCGGCTCCATCCAGACAGCCGCATTCGTCCCCAGACTGGCGCTCTATCGTACTCGAGGTACGATCTCATACAGCGGCGACCGGCCTGGCCAGCAGGGCCGGCCGGCCGGGCTCGTGGCGTGCTGCAGGACGTCGACGGCCTACTCAGGCCGCGGCAGCCTCATGCACATGCCGTAGAACCTGTTGACGCCGTCCAGCAGCGCTCTCCTGATGAGCCGTCCTGAATACTCGGATGGAACTGAAGCGATCCGTAGAAGGGTCTCGCAGTCCTCGAGTCCTCTTCGTATTCCTTTGAGACGGCACGGGGCACAGGCCCCGCTGATGACTTCGGCGAAGAGAATGGAGTAGATCGGCGTCTGGAATGAAAAGAAAGAAACGTTGTAAAATATGAACGACTTGCCGTAAAAGTGAAACATACACCAAGACTGTTAACAACATGCTAGGATGTCAGCGTTGCTTACTTTATGAATTATGATTATCTTTAGCATTCCAAGTAATGCAACATACGCTGTCAGTAGCAGTTCCGTCTGTCAATAGCGTGTGCTACCGTATTAAGCGGCCTAATGTTTAAGCAGCCATATCTCCACCGATCAACTTTGCCGACCACCGAATCTCCTGGTCACAGTTGTTGGTGCTCAGCCCGTTCACGTGTTCTCAAGGCCAGAACCTCATGCTCTGCGATAAGCTGCATCTAAACCGGTCTCCTGACCTGGCTGCATCCTATTTTTCCTTTTGAGGACATAAAGGACGCCCTGTCCTAAAAACCTATTCGTCATCTAAATCTCTTCTGCCAGCCACATGATGATGCTCCGCTTGTCTATAACGGCGCACTGCGATGCAAGGCTACTGTATTTTGTCACCTAAATGGGATGACGCTGCAAAATTGCTCGCTTCACAACAGAGAGCGCAGACCGGTAGTTATCGCCACATGAATTTGTGAGCAGGAACTGCCGGTCACGAACCGCGCCTGACATTCTCCCAGCTAATGCTGCCCCCGAGTCTGCTTTGTATGAACAGATCCCACCCTCAACAGGGCGCCAGAGGCTTTGGGCAGACCGCAGGTATCCTGATTCGCCCGTTATCTGCGCTGTCGCAACTCAGTTATAATCTATCTTCCTTGAGCAGAGCTCAGCCTTTATTTCCGATATCGCCATTTTCCGCGGCAATATGTAAATACTAAACAGATCATTAACGATGGATCAAGTCAGAGGTAATCTGCCCAGCGCCGTAACCTCGTAAACCTTCGTCGCTCCAGCCATGGCCAATCGAAGCGCTTTGCGCAACCAGCTTGTTTGAAGAGGAGCCGCTCAGGAAATCTCCTATCCGGCAAACTGTCGGCGATCTCACGGACTCTGAGACCGGCGGAAAGTGGCCGGGGGTGAATCACGGTGTCATGGGCGCGTCAAAATCGAGACCGGCTTAATTTGTTTCCGGGATGACGCCTCCGTCTATAATTGTTCACGTACCGCCACAAAGACATCCGGTGGGACATGCCCCACTCGAGGGCAGCTGATATGTCGGGACTCATGCAGATTCGTGAGACAAAAATTGAAGTTTATTGTGCATAGAAAGTTATTGAGTCAATTTTGATCAAAAGGGAAATAAATGCTCTAGAAAAAATGTTAATCGTTTGACCCTGGCTTTTCATAAGGACGATAAGCAAGACACTATATTCATACAATTTTTAAAGCCAAAAAGAAGCTCCTTTATGATTCGGGTTTTCCTCGATAAAATCCGCTTGTCATGAATGTCTGCATAACTGTGCCTTTATTGGTTGGATTGAAAGTCGCCGGCAGACATGGGTAATTAGTTAGGATTTAAATAATCCCTTCATAGCCGAATAGCTATACGCTTATGCGTTTTATCTGCTCAACACCCAAATCGCTACGCTTATCAAACGATAAGCTCGAAAATACTTTGGTGAAACGCCTGCTATCAATCATTCTTAGCTGGGATTTATCGACTGATGGCAGCCGAAGAGCGCAATAAGCCTTCCGTCATTCATTCCGCTCCATGGGTTCCCCGTTGATCCGACTAGTTCGGTAATTAAAAGTTCTTAACTTCTTGGCGGGATTCGTTTGGGTCAAGCTAATCGCATGGAATTGAGAAGGGTGAATGCGAGAATGCCCGGTGCGCTAAGCCGTTTCTAATCTTCTAACGTCATGCGTCGATCATTCGGAACCATCAAAGAGGCGGCAGCATTTCACAAGGGCACGATCGTCCAAGCCCTTTGAAGGTCTGACGGTCTGACTAATCTGATTACCACCTACACCAGGGACAGACAATCAAAGAGCTTAAGAGCACACCCAGGTTCTATTCGCGAAAGGATTTGACGAAAGACGCCACGTCAGCCTGTCGCCGAGTTCTCACCTGTGTCTATCGCCGTCCGCTGCGTCCGAGCAGGCTCTGCAGATAGAGAATCTGCGCCAGCGCCTTGTTGCCGAGGTCGGCCGACTTATCATCAGGCCTCCTTTCGCTGGCCTGCGCCGCCTCGGGCGAGCCGGGCCTCACGGTGACACCAGACTCGGCCAGCTCCCTCTCGAAGGTGCGGCGCGACTCGAGCTGTCGGCGCGTCTCCTCGGCGGCAGAGCGCTGCTGCTCGGGGGAGGCGGTGGCCGCGGCGGCCGCCAGGTCGAAGCGTCCCGGCCGGTGCGGCGAGAACCTGCTCACGGCGCGGCTGGTGTCGGCGGGGGCCGAGGAGCTGAACTGGTGCCGGCGGTTGAACTGGTTGAGGCGGGTGTTGGTCGGGCTGGAGCCGAAGCGGGCCGGCCGGTTGGTGTCGAAGCGGCTCTGGAAACCCGAGCGGAACGGGAAGCGCTGCTGGTTCGAGTGGCGCTGGCCCGCGAACTGCTGCTGCTGCGGCTGCTGCTGCTGCTGCTGCTGCTGCTGCTGCTGCTGGTACTGCTGCTTGTAGTGCTGTTCGTACTGCTGCTGGTACTGCTGCTGCTGCTCGTACTGCTGTTGGTGCTGCTTCTGATGCCGCTGCGGCTGCGAGGTGCCCTCGTAGGTGAAGGACCGGCACGAGCCGACGCCGACGACATAGCAGACGCTGCCCAGCAGCTTGCCCTGCTGTGAGCGTCCGTTGCCCATCGGACAGGAACAGGTGATGATGCCTCGTCGCTGTGCTGAGGCGGTACACGCCACTGCCAGCAGTAGCAGTACGGCCTGGAAACAACAGAAAAGGAATCAATATACAGCCCACGGCAATACATGAACATGAAGAGATGGAATCGGTGACTCCGAAATATTGCAGTGAAACAACCTTGGACTGGCTGACCCTGGAACAGCAAGTAACCGCTTATTTCTATAAGTAACGGTTGAGTCAGCAGCGAGTCATTTGTCAGCGTTCCTTGTGAACAGTCACGGAGCCGCGGGGTCCTTCACGATCCGCGTTGCGTGCCTGAGCTGGAGCTCTTTAGAAGCTCTGACGCGACCGTACCATGCAACTCTCCGAGAAAGGAGACCTCCCGGACGGCTCACGAGCGGCAGAGGCACGTTCTCGTCACCGTGCGACAGTTCCATGGCAAGATTAAACCCCAGACAGCTCGGTTCTAACTGCTGCCATTACAGGGTCAGCTGCACCTCGGAGCGTGCACGAGCGGTCGTTCGGTCGGCTGCTACTGCGCAGCACCACACCCTTGAGAAGAGGGTAGGTCAACTCCTCCCACCTCCCGCGCCACGGAGCTTCGGCAGCTCTTCCATCAAGCTGAGTCGGGAAGTCGCTAATAACACGCCGGGAGTACAATGACGCGAGGTTTTTAGAACAATAGTGGCGGCCTCAAAGGCAGCAGATGGCTCGGCACATTAGGCAAGCTCTTATGGAAAGTTATCGCGCCTTAGATCGCATGGCGATGGGCTCACGTTTTACAACAGAAAAATGGACAGCATTAGAGCGGTGTTGCCGCTAAGAGTCTTTGATTAACACTTGTCCATCAGATGGATTTTACTTTTGGATTAGCGTAGATGTGGCTATCGATTTGGTAACGTGGATGACCAATCGTAAAAATGGCGCAATCGGTCAAAAACATAAAGAAAAAAAGAAGGAAAAAACACACCCACAACCGGCCCAGATCTTATAGCGAGTTGAGCTGTATCTCATCGCAACAAAGAAATCTCCCAGTCCTTTCACGGAACGGGCGTAAGTGGAAAATAATTCTGAACTCGTTTAAAGTAACATCCGCCATATAATCTCGATCAGTGGCAGCCGCAATCACGAATGCATCATCTGCGAAGCAGTTCCGTTTCACCCATCAAAACGGGCCCGGCGGGGCGCCGGTAGAGATGGGTGTCTCCTCACGAACTAGATTGAGTCATGACCACGGAGCAGCCCCCTGCGACGAGCATGTTCCCGTCCCGACACCCGGGTCATCGGAGGGTCACCCAGGGGTCACGGAGAGCCCGTCAGGTCAGCCACTAGTCACGGAGCCCTTGAAGCCGCCAAGGTCAGGGCAGCGTTGTGGTTTGTTGCTATTGCTTGGCACCTGCTGTGCAAAGCAAGCCGCTGATAATAGACCCGGATTTTTATGCGCTGGTGGCGATGCACTGTGCTGGAACGTGATAGGCTGGCCGTAGGGGAGCTAGTCGAACCGTTAGTCTGCAGACTTTTTCGTGTGTACTTTATAACTCAGAAGCAGTTGAACTATGCGTAATCGGGCCGGTAAGTTGACATCTTCAAAAATGACATGTAACCATGTGTTCAAGACAATTTGGAGGAAAGCAAGCCTAGAGACATGATAACATTGCCTTCTGTGACAGGTTATTTCTGTTTCGTGCAAGAGGAACATCATTCTTGCACGAATGCACTTGTCACAAAGAACGTCGTTGAGGAATTCCGCCACATGGTTTCATGCGCCCGCGTCCCAATTTTACATCGTCTCGGCTGGTAACAAACCGTTCCGTTTGAAGGGATTACCAGTCGTCCACTAAACCGCGACAGAGCTGTAATTCCCAGACAGTCGCTACAAGTCTCCTGTGAAGGGATCGGCAAATCGCATAGCGTGCCGTGTTTCATACGCTTCCTTCTATCCTGTTCCGAGATAAATAAACTCGCGCTGAATGCGAAGTTCCCCTGACTGCACGCCTTTTCGTCATCAACCGCAGACGCTTACGTCATGATGCCGTGCCGCAGACTACAGAAACAAACCTAGCACTCAGGGCATCCCTCAACGCATGAGAAAGCGGAACGCTGACACCTTTCGCGCAATGCCACAGGGCGGAACAAGTGGCGAATTTCCCAACGGTACGGGTCGCCGCACACGGGTCAACTTAACGAGACCGCATCGGTGTTGTATATGTGTGAGACAGAGCGAGACGTCAAAATTCAGGCCAGCTTTACTGAGGCGAAACGTCATTCATCACTTACAAATTAAGTTACGTTTTTGCCAATTATGTAATATGTTCTTGCACATTACATGGTAGATATTTTACGGCTTAAAATAAAATAACGGCAAACTTATGCGGGAATGCCGCTCACATCAGATGCATCGGTACGCAATCTGGTATCGGAATATGCGATCGATTTCACTCAATGTCCGCACTGTGCTGTACTCGTATGTCACGACTCCATACGGCATTCCTAAGGCGCTTGAATACATTAGGATAAAGGAATGCGCATCTCTAATGTGTGATAACGGCCTTGTGCAGGCTGAAGCAAAATATATCGATGCATTTTCGCCACAGGCAAGCAACAACAAGCAAAACGCAACGGCGTTTGGCAATCTTCACTTTCGTGAGACAGGACTGCACACGGAGTGTTGCGCACTTAGCGCCTTGGAAATGGATTGACGTGCAACGAGATTTCAAAATAGGTCGGGGGCATCTGCCTCATTTGTTAGTCAAATTGTTGCACGCTGCAGTACTATTGCCACTGCAAAGGCAAACTCACGCTGACTGAGCAAGACACGGGCCAGCCTAAGAATCTATGACCAAGTCTGTCGAATGGAAGTGCGAAGCTGGGCCGTACGAAAGCTTCTTTCGACTTCGATGGGCGTTATTTAGTCCGTTGAATAAAACTAGGTGAGGGCAAATACACCTCGCTTACTTATGCTACTCGCTACACAAGCGAAGGGCTAAAGGGGCGATGGTTTGTAAACGTTGGCGTTGGTAAAGTAGTCTATACCCAACTTTTTAAGAACTCAGCAAATTCTAAATAATGACAGTTACTATTGCACACACAAGAAATAAACTTCTATTTCAAGCCACAAAAACATTTGAGCCTTGAATAAATTATGAGTGCACTTGTAAATGCACATAGGTTTTAACATGAACTTAACTGTAAATTTTATAAAAACATATAAAATATAAAACAGAAAAAGCAACGAGTAAAGCACATGCACTGTGGACACCTCATACACACTCACCAATCCAGTGGCGTTCGCGTTCATGTCTGCGGCTGTTCACGTATCCGTCGATCGGAGCGTCTCACGAGCTACACCCACTGCAGGCACCGGTCCGAGCGAGCACTGAGTGACGCCGTTTGGCGCCGGCCGGTTTTATGAACGCTAGCCTCCCTGGGGCGGTGCGGCCGCGGCGGCGGACCGGTGGGTTTTCCTGCTCTCGACCAGAGGCGGCGGCGGCGACGACGCATCCTGTGCCCTCCGGCGGCTTCCGCTGGGTCACGCGGCGTGTTCAGATGTTATAGTAGGACGAGGTCAGTGTGGGGTGGACCTGGGATGGCCCCCCGTCGCCGCGGGCGAAGTGGAGGGCGAGCTGGCGGGGCGACGACGCTGAGATCGGAACTCTGAGGTAAGTGACATGAAGTGCATAGGTGAATATTTTACATTGGTCACGGATGGCGTAGGCTGAATAGGTGACAGTTCTTGCTTCTGTGTGCCTAAATCGCGTCATCAACCAGTGCTAGGCATGAAATGATGAGATATGGGCGTCGCAAATTGCCCGAAATAAACAAAACAGAAACAAAAACAGTGTGAGTGCGACCGAGCTTCGAAAGCGAGACGTTTGTTGTTCAGGAGCGGACACGGAACTGTGCAGCTTTCAGTACCAATATGTTGGGTGAGACAGCAAGCTGTGCGTTGAAGATAGGTAAGTACTTTGGGTAGATACTGTGCTGTGTGCGGTCGAAGTCACCTGAACAGGAACAGGTACGGCAGTCTTCGACAAGTCAGTATTCGCTGTTCAACCGCTGATGTTGCGGATCATTGTAGTTCGATGCGTTCCCGAGGGCAAAAATCGATGTCAGACGCATTGCAAATGCTAGGTAACCGCTTCTGCCTACTGAACTATCGCAATATTATAAGATTGCAATGGAGCCATATATCTATGATTGGTGAACAAAAACTATTGATCATGTACACTTCGTTCGTTGTTATCGTCAACATTACTGGCGTATAGAGCTTGCCGAGCAACTGCTTACATATTGTAGGTATATTGTGCCGTGTATTAGGTGTATATTACTTATTGTATGATTGTATATTGTGTCGTGTTCTTGATGAATGGATGTATCTCGATACTTATCAGTGTCCTGCAAGCCAGTCACAAGGAGATAAATGAATTACAATAAATCAAACTTATGTGAGACATCAAATGAAGTTTCCTATGAGTAGTAGCGAAACGGTATGTCCCTTCAGCAAACGTTTGCATGTAGGCGTAACAGTTTGAAGCAAGCATCCCTTAGTAATGTGGTATAACTTTTGAATATAGGTAAGTTAGGCATGTTATCTACAAGAGCAGCTGGTACATAAAGCGCATACATATGTGAGGCAGCAAAGCCACCATTCCAAGGGCTTGTATGTTCACCTGTACGTGAATACAGCCAAAAAAGGTATCCATTCTTTCCTGTTTGATACGTCAGTAGACAGGAAGGTGAAAACACAAAAAGTGCACCCATATTCATGCCACGGCTACTGTCGTGCCATTCGAATGCACTAGGTACTGGAATACGAGCACCCAATTATTGTCACTAATACGGCCATAACAATAGACAAGAAGGCATAAATTGACCGCGATTTATCACGAATCATTACTATCGTTAATCGTTATCACACATCACTACTTCCCAATAAAAGCCATAGGTAGCACAATTAATATCCTATCATATCATTGATTACTCATTGTTTGACGTTCGATGATTTTAAGTACTTGACCAATGATTTCACCATGTCACAACCCTCTTGTGATGACTCCACAAATGTTAAACGTGTTTGAACAATCCTATTACTGATGAATGCCTGCGTTTTATAACTTTTAATGCGTGTGTGTATCAATCTTTAAGTCACGTAGTATTCACCCGTGTCGTAATGTGACACATGACTCTCAATATCCTCGTTCTAGGCATAACCGGTTCGACCATTTTTGTCTTCATTCAAAGCCGGCTCTGAGAAGGCAGGATGTTCCTGCTGAGAGCTATGGGACAAATCACATAAAATTGCGCGTTTATGAATATGTACAAAAACCGGATGTGCACGTCTCACTTTGACATATGAGTAAGGATAAATATGTTTTGAAATGCAAACAACCTATCACAGGTGTGTGATTGTGCAACAATAGGTAGCAATAACGTGCAATTATACGCTTGGTCATAATGAGGCACTATCCGGGTAGGTACGATGGATATCGTTCGATATGGCTGAGCGTGAGTTATTTTCAAGTGAGCATGCATGCTCAAAGACTTGAAGCAAAGACTTGATACATACATCAAGAGGCTCCTCGGCTCCTCAAACCGAGCTGTTGCCAAACAGCAGTATAAAGGTTCACTAATCATCCTTGTAACTTCCTTCCCTTTGATGAGAGATGCTGATATTACGTTTTGAGTCATCCCTGGAAACTGGAACCACAGGAAAGCCAAGCAAAAGAAGCTGTTGATTGGCTGGATTTATGCACAACAGGTAACATTGTAAATTGATTATTTTTATGCAACATCTAATAAACTTTTATGTCGCTTTCCCAAACAACCAATAACAATTAGGGAAATATATGCCGGAAACCCGATATTCTTGCATTAATCTAAATTGCATAATCATTGTGAACAAGAAAAATACACGTTACTACGAACACATGCGCAGGAAGCAACATCTAACTACAAAGGCTAGCGCGATGATAGAAATCTGGAGACATACACTATACCCAAAACCCACTAGATCGAGTGACTAGACTTTCAAATGATGCACTTTGCCATAGCAGCATTACATGAATCGAATAGTAGGTACACAGATCAATGCATACTGTTTTTCGAGAGAAATGGTGGGCGAGCAGTTGAAAAAAAACTTGATTTGACACAAACTATAGGAAGGCTGTGGCGTTCCCGGTACCATATTTCCAATGTCTACGGAATCGTTACATGCGTTGTATTCCATAAATGTTGCAGTTATATTTTGTTAGTGGATTGCTCATTTCAATGCAAGTGTGAAATCGAAGTAGCCTATTGGGCGACAGCAATGCACGTGTTATAATATCGTGTAATATTAGTTTGCATGCACTTATCGAACGTAAAACTTTAAAGAAGTGTCCTGGGTAGCAGGACATGAAAAAAATGCCAGCTTGAATCGGCTTCTTGAAGGTTTTACCCATGCTTCTGTGTCACTTAGCGGGTACATTTAAATGAGCAACAGGTAATTAAGTTGTCAAACAAGAATATTCAGAGAAAAGAATAAGGAGAACTCACGCCTGTTTGTGAGGAAAGTCATTCACGGCATGGCCACGGGAGTGGCTATAGCCGCCAGTCTCAAACCACAACGCGGTGCGTATTTTTACCCGGCTTCAAACAACAATCTTGGAAAATATATACGCATCGGTGTTACTATCCGGACTCATTCATTATTGCCTCACCGACAGCGTAGTAGGTTTGTCTAAAAAAGACTGTTTTGTTAGTGTGCCCTTGAAATTTTGCGCGAAGGCGCATATCCAGCTACCCACTGTGTGGGTATGATTGACCGGTTCTCTCATGGTATGACACACCTGTGGCCAAGTAAAGTAAGTGTTTGCGCGATCACACATTGATGTTTGGTCATGATACCAAATCATTTTGATAAGCACCAACTGTGACGTCGTTCGCATGTAAACATGCAAGTAGCCGCACTTTGAGGGGCGGCTTGAATTCGTCATAGATTTCCAATGTGTGCAAAGCCATCGGAAACTGATGGCGTATTGTGGTTCTGTGTGAATCATCTTTGCAGGCACAATTTGAATGTGGGACTGAAATCGTCACACTCGAGATAATGGAGAAGAGGCACAGTGTAAATGTGAAACGTTGGCTAATCTGCTTGACCTGGTGGCGGTGACCTGGCTTTTATAGATAACCTGGCGTCAAAAATTTTGCATACGATGTAAAATGATGCATAATGGGGTATTCACCAACTTAGCATGCATCATATGCCAAGTTTCGCGCCGCCACAGGCAGCGTTTTTTTATGCGCACGCAAAAAAACTGGAGTGTGTGTGGCCAAGAACGCCCCACCCCCCTCCACAACACTCACTCGAGCAAAGGCTATAATGTGCTGATCTATCGAAAGTAATGATTTCTCCGATAAGGGCAGAAAATTGAGAACATGCTTGACAAAGTAACATTACAGTTTTGTCCAATGAAAAATCTCAGAGAGGACAGGCTGGCCTCCGATTCAATCCACAAAAGAACACGCTCACACGACTCAGCATTTTCGATGGAGACGACCGTTTCAACATTTTGCACCGATGGAACTCACAACGGAAGTGACAGTGCCCCCGTTCTACCATGCGGCAAAGACCAGACAATGATTTCAATTCGGTGAAGATGACGGTGCGGCCAACAACCACTGTCGCATGTGCCGCCACAGAGGGCACACCGAGGACTTTATGCTCAAATATTATCCTTGTTTATCGAGACACAAACACATTCAGAGAAGATAAACATATTTTTACGGCTGCACACTAATGAGCCTGCACGTAATATAAAATGTGCTGAATCATTCAGTACGCGGTTCTTCCTCCTGGTAACTTTACATACGGGAGACATTTACGAAAAGAGATAGGGCACGTTTGTCATATCCTAGCTCTTGCGGGAACATATTGTCTCACAGCCCCATATTTTTTTTCTACAACACACTTCACTTAAAAAAATGGTCCATTCAGTGATAAATTGAAAAATAACCAAAGAAGGTCCTACACTTTAAAGACAAACACATGTAAGCATCTAAACAGGGTTTTTTTAACTTTTTTAAGGATCCATGAAGCAGTCTTCATGGAAATCGCCCACGAAATGCAGCAACTAACGTGGGATGCAGCTCTAAGAGCTGTAGTTTGAATGTATCGGAGTTGATGTTCAAATGGCGCGTCACAGGTCACGACACAGGTGCAGTCGTGTCATAGCAACGGCAGCCGTTAAAATATTAAAAATGTGCATTATATAATGTTATGTTGGGATGAATTGACGCTAAATAACTGCCGTTACCTTGGCACGATTTTGACAGCGCTGGCCGATAAAACAATTCGGTGTCATTTAAAAGAATTAAAATTATTTTCTCATACACCATGAAGACGTACACCATGAAGTTCATGAGTGTAGTTGATGTGTTGCTTCGATCGAACTAGCAGTTGTATGTTCGCTGCTAGTAGCAGACAGATTATCAGCTACTTTTACGGGTGGGATTATGTTCTGGAACATGACATGTGGCTTATGACTTTTCGTAT